GGGGCACAGGCGTGAGTCAGGGAGGTGCGGGCGATCTCCATGACCAGGCCTATGCGGCGCTCAGCAACCCCATTCTGCTGTGGGGACTCTGGAAGCGTCCAGGACTGACAAATGCCCTGCTCGCGACAGAATCCAGCGAGAATGCCGGAGCGAAACTCATCCCCACGGTCAGAGTGGAGACAGCTGACACGACGACCACGAGTGTCCTCGGTGGTGAGCAACCACCTGATCAGCGTAGAAGTCACCTCAGACTTCTTCGCCAGAGGGAACACTGTGGTGTAGCGGGAGAAGTCGTCAACGACCACCAGAAAGTAACGCTCACGCTCAGGGCCTAGACGAGGGGCGGGGCCCCAGACGTCCAAGTGAAGCGTCTCAAAAGGCTCGGTGGCCGGACGAAGGGAGGAGGAGTGAGGGGTGGCGCGCAGCCTACCCTCGACGCAGGGACGACACGGCGGCGCAAGCGAAGGCGGCAGCGACGGCAAGACACGTGGGAGGCCTAGGACAAGACGCTGACTAGACATAGCGCGTAGACGAGGAAGGGACGGGTGCCCCATCCGGTGGTGCCACAGAACGGTGGGGTGGGCAAGCGACCGGCAGGAGCACGACGCAGCGACTAGAACAGACGTAGGAACCTGACACGACACAGACACCTGGGGGGACGAAGCAACCTGGTGAGACGCGGGGACCCGAACGGGGGGGGAACCGGGGGCAGTGGCAGTAGGGGGGGCTGCTGGTGCGGCCGCTGGTGCTGCTGCTGCTGCTGCTGCTGCGGCTGCGGCTGCTGCTGCTGCTGCGGCTGCTGCTGCGGCGCACGCGGGCCAGTGTGAAGAGTGTAGAGACCCGAGCCCGGCTCAGCAGTAAAGGTAGCAAGAGGCTGGTAAGAGTCTCCGTCAACACACACCGCAGTCTCTCCAGAAGGCTCAAACCACACACCTACGTGCTGACTCACGAGGGGTCGCACGCCCACCAAGTTCCGGGAGAACGAGGGGACGTGAAACCCAGTGAGAGACCCGGAGGGAGCAGCAGGACACGGTAAAGTGGTAGTGTGACGTGCAGTGTCTGGTCCCGTAGTGGGATCAGCCAACGCTACAGAAACAGGCGCAGGAAGTGGTGTAAGTGTCGTGCTGTCCCGGAAGAAGCAGTGGGAGGCTCCAGAGTCCAGTGTGAACGACAGCGAAGCGTCGTCTGAGGTAGTCGCTGGTCTAGAGTCTACACAAGTACCTACACTAGCAACAGGCAACTGAGCAAGACTAGCACCTAAGCTAACAACACCAGAGTAAACAGAGTCAGAAACACTAGAGTCAACAACAGCATACATAGCATGAGGAGCACTAATCAGATCAACTAACTGCTCAGCAGACATGCCCCACAGAGCGGAGCCGTAGCGCTGAACCAGAGGAAGCCAGTCAGGAGCAGGACCGCCAACCCCGTAGGTCAACCGGACCGTGTCAGTGAGCTGAGCAAAGCACTGACCAGGGGGGTGAAAGCGGCCACAAGAGTGGCCCCGTCGAGGACCTGTCTGAACCTGGTAGGGGCAGGGAGGGTAAGCCGCACCGCGCTGGGGCTGACGCAGCCCCGACCCCGGAGCCAGCTGCTGACGCTGCTGCTGCTGAGGCTGCTGGGAGGAAAGGGGCTGCTGCTGCTGAAGGTGCTGCTGACGCTGAGCCTGGTACCACGCCGGTGCTCCACCTAGCGGGGCCGGCAGTACAGGAGGCGACTGACGAGCTCGGGGGTCGCCGCCACCAGCAGGTGCAGTGGAGTCACCAGCCGCTGCACGAGGGGTCTCTCCAGACGCTGCACTCCCACCACCGCCAGTCGCAACAGCACCCCCACTACCTCCGCTACCTCCGCCTCCACCTCCACCAGAACCACCTTTCTTGCCCCCCCTGCCGCGGGACCGCGACGCAGTCGTAACAGCAGCCGCAGTCGCGTCAGTAGCGGCAGTGGCAAGAGAGGCAGTGAAGGTGGGTAACTGCGGGACTGTGCACCCGTGGAAGAGTGGGGGGGACACAGTACCAGAGGCGGCAGCTACCGAACGAAGGTTGCTCTCGACGTCCTTGAGTGCAGACTCAAGGACCTCGATAGTCAGCTCACTAGGGTGCTTCAGCAGAAGCGCGTCACGAACGGAGGCAAGGCGGTCAGGGAGGCTAGTGGCGATGAAATAGACAGTGATCGCCATGGGGGGAGGAAGCAGTGCAAGCTGTGCCTCAGTGCAAGCAGCGCGGTAACTAGCGTCGAGCGAGCGGAGGTGAGCGATCAAGTCAGCAGAGCGCTCAAACGAGGCAAGATCAGGAAACAGGAACGGGAGGAAAAGACGGCCAAGAGAGACAGTAGCGGGAGTAGAGTAGCGGGCCTTAATCGCAGTGAGGTACGCAGCAGCGGTGCGAACCTGAGTAAAGTGGACCTCCTCAGACTCAGGGAGGAGGCTGCTGAGTGCGATGCAGGCCGCAGCGTCACGCGACGTCCAAGCCGTCCGGTCAGCGCGCTGACGGGCAAAGCGAGCCGTAGCAGCGTCGTCAGGAGCAGGGCCTAAAGCTGTAGGCTCGGGGGGCTCGGGGAGGTCACCAGTAGCGTGTGACCAGAGGGTCTTGCCCCCCTGGACCTGACTCTCTAACAGGCGGCGAGCGCGAAGAAGCCAGACGGAAAAGTCAAGTGGTCTACCGTCAGCGTCGAAACGAAGAACTCGCGGAGTCGCCATAGTGAGAACTAAAGCGAACGAACAGGCGAGTAAGAACCGGGGGGGAAGAGGACTCAGGTGCAGCGGAAGAGCGGGCTAGGGCGACGGGCCAGGACGTAGGGAGGGCAACGGGCCAGAGCCTAGGGTAGGGCGACGGGCCAGGGCCTAGGGTAGGGCGACTGGCCAGGGCTTAGGGTAGGGCGACGGGCCAGGGCTTAGGGAGGGCGACGGGCCAGGGCCTAGGGTAGGGCGACGGGCCAGGGCCTAGGGTAGGGCGACGGGCCAGGGCCTAGGGTAGGGCGACGGGCCAGGGCGTAGGGCAGGGCGACGCGACGGGGGAAAGGGCGGGAGCGACGCGACGGGGCAGGGCGACGCGACGACACAGGGCGACGCGACGGGGCAGGGCGGCGCGACGGGGCAGGGCGACGGGACGGGGCAGGGCGACGCGACGGGGTAGGGTGACGCGACGGGACAGGGCGACGGGACGGGGGGGGAACAGGCGGGCACGACGCGACGGGGGGAACGGGCGCGACGCGACGGGGGGGAAAGGGCGTGACGCGACGGGGGGAAAGGGCGCGACGCGACGGGGGGGAGGGGAAAGGGCGCGAGGCGACGGGGAGAAAGGGCGCTAAGCGACGGGGGAAAGGGCGCTAGGCTCGGTACTAGGCGCGGTAACAACGGAACTGGTACGAACGAGAGGTAGGATCAGGCTCGGGAGGTACGAACGGAGAACGGAGGAACGGGATCCCACAGGATCCTAACCTAGCTGATACCATGTCAGAATGAGGAATGAATGGTGCCATTGATGTTGGTTGGGGTACATATAACAAACCTTAACTTCTGTACCCCCTAAGACAAACCTCACTACAGGCTACAACATTTGACACTTGCTGCCGTGCCTTCCTCTGTCTGCAGGCCAGAGGCTGGCGGTGGAGTAGGAGTAGTGCCCGAGGAGCCATTAGGGGAGCTCCTTTCCTTGTTTGTTGCCATGTCTTGTAATGATCTTGAAAAGGTAGAGTTTCCCTTGTCAGCTCTCATACCATGTTGGGCTGAGAAGCCCTTAAGGATCTTTGCAGAGGATAACTCTGGGTAGGATACTTTGTAATAGCGGAAGCGTTTAATGAAGCTTTGTGAACCGACCTTGCACTAGTGTGTGAGAGCAAAGTAGATTAAATTATAGTGAAAAGATACAAGCTTATATAATAATACAGGGAATATGAAGAGATACGGTTATAACTACTTTTACTGTTGCTGTTGCGGTTCGATACAGTGCGACTCGGGCAACTGCTCTGTAACGAGTCAGTTGTGTGTCCTTAACTGTCGCGCTGTTCTTGTCAGGTCAAGGGTCAGCGACCTTTGACTTTCGCGTAACTTCCTGCAGCCGATTCAACCTCCGAGGGTTGACTCGCAGGTGCTTCGGTGTAGGTTGCCTCGCTTCTGGTGCAATGTTTCGACACTGCTGAAGCGTTTAAGTTCCATTGTTTCCAACAGGTGAATGGCGCATAAGGGATGTGATTGGTTAAACAACCAATCACATCAATTGAAGCATTCTGTTGGTGACAACGAAGCAACCGACTCGTCGGGGAAATTCGTTTTCCCGCCGCGTCGGCGCTGTACGTGGCAACTTTTGCGTGATTGACGGTGGATGTACCTGGACAGCCGAAAAACACGGCTCCGGCACGAATCTGTAATAGCGTGAGTTCAGCCTACACTCTCGTTACAAGTCTGATCAATCAGCGGACACTTGTAAAAAAACGCTGGAAAATCAGCCAATACTTCAAAAAAAAACCTGAAGAATCAGCCAACACAATTAAAAAAAAAAACTGAATTATCAGCCAACACATCAGCCATACCGTATGTCTGGGAGATCAGCGTCCAGACCCTAAATCAGCCTTTTTTCGCTGACTTCTGAGGCCCTGCAGTCACGGTATAATGTACGGTGATCCAAAACAATGTCAGATTAATAGTTCATGTCACCAAGTTATGCAACTCTAGCCAAGTGTAGTGTGTGTGCACTGCACAGGAAGCTATTAAGAGGAGAGCATAAGTTTTCCAAGATGGGTCTGCGGGATCACTCACTTCACAGAACCTCATTCATTAGCCATTCAGACACTGATCACTCATGCCAATTCGCAACCAGACCAGATGTATTACAAGCTGGAGGATTTGTAACAAAAGAACAGCTGCCATTGAGAAGCACTACACACTGCAAAGGATATTAAGGAGCTGCAAAAAGATGCAGGCGGGTAACATAACATCCTGTGGTGGTAACCATCACATCCTGTGCCTTGCAATCCAAGGGGCCCCAGTGCATTATTGCAGGTCAGGGCAGGCGAGGCCGAAGCACACGGGAGATGTATTCACGTGTCTCTGGGACCATGCGCTGCAGCAGTGCATTGTACCTGCGGCAGGGAGGGAGGAAAAGAGGAGTTGCGTGCAGGAGAAGGGATGAGAGACGGCAGTGCGATTGGTGTGATGTGACAAACAGCATGCATGGGCAGCGGGAGACGAGTGCGCGGGCAGAGGACAGTGGGATGGCAGCGCCACGGCTCACATCCGTGAGTGGCGGAACCTGGAAGGTTCCGTGAGTTCACTGAACCAGAAGGTTCCGTGACTGGAAGGTGTGGACGAGGAGGCAGGTGTGGGTGTGGGTGGGGCATACCCGGGGAGGTTGCACATCTGCTCGTGGTGGTCCAGCACGAACAGCACACACATCTGCCGCAGCGACTGCGCATGATACGTCTCCGCCAGCTCGTATACATTCGCCACGTTCTCTACCGTCAGATCCTGATCATGCATCCGTGCACACACACATGCACATGGACATACATGCACGCACACACGCACCGACATGCACGCATGCACACACCCCCATACACACACCCACACAACCACATGCTTGCATGCGACATGCGGAGGCAAAGAGAGAAGGGCGGTCATGTGAGATGAGAGCACTTCTCGATGGGGTGAAGCGAGAACCAGCTCGTTTGAGCAATGAGCGCACAGCTTTTGAGAGAGACAGTCAGCAGTGCCGCAGAGGCACTTGACCCCACCCGGGCAATTGAGCCCAGCAGTTTACCTGCGCAATGGCGTGCTCGCAGAGGCGCTTGAGCGTCTCCAGCAGGTACTGGTCCGCCGCCCTCAGCAGGTCCTGTGCCATCTCTGGCCGCACCTCCACCGCCCCCGTGTATATGCACCTGAACAAGGGGGTGTGGGGGGGGGATCACCAGAGCGGTGGGCGGAGGTGAAAGAAGGGGTGGCATGGTTCAAGGGACAGAGGCAGTGGTCGATAACACATGAGCAGCCATGGAACGACACATGGACTCATGGAGGGTGAAGCTTGTGGCATGCGGGGGCTTAGGGGAGTGGACTGTGGAGGAGGATAGGAGGGGGGGTACCTCATCATGCTCTCAAAGACAGGCAGGCTGATGTTGGGAATCTCTATGTCCTTCGCCTCCTTCTCCTCCTGCTCACACCCAGCCACACATGCAGCAATGGGGCAGCGCGCAGTCGCAGGGGAAGGGGGCCACAAGAGAAAAACGAAGCTGAAGGAAAAGAGAGGAAGCTGGTTGGAAGGATGGATTTGCATGGCACGACAAGGAACGGCACGGTATGGACTGGCATTGCATGGCATATCACAACACAGGGGGCAGGGTGGGGCGGGGCGGAGCACGGCATGGAATGGCATGACATGGCACGCACTCGGTAGCCGCCGTCAAACATGGCTCGGAAGGCATCGGAGGAGGCGAGCAGGGCGATTCGATGCGCGTAGAAGCGCGTCCCTGAGGGGGGCGGGCGGGGTGGTGTGGGGTAGGGCGAGGAGAGGCACAGATGAGACGAGACGGATAAGAGCATGGGGTGGGTGGGCAGGGCAGGAGAGCGAGGGTTGAGGTAGGGAATGCGATAGTGCATACAGTGGCATGCAATGGCAGAACGAGTGACCATGCAGTGCACCGTGGCCCATGACTCTTATCCCAAACTAGAGCCCCATGCCCTATGCTCCATGCCTCTTATAACCTGCCCCATGCCCCATGCCCCATGCTTTATGGCCCATGCTGCACGCCCCACGCCCCATTCCCCCGGCCCCTTGCGCATGTGCAGTTAGAGCACCCCCACCTTCAACGAGGAAGGTGACGTCTGAGAGCGTGGGGCAGTTGACGTACTGCTCCCCCAGATACACCTGCGCGCTCACAAGGGGGGAGAGGTGTGCGACAGCCGAGGGGAGGAGAGGAGGGCAGAGGGGAAAAGAGAAGCGAGGAGGGGAGGAGAGGCAAGCAGAGAGACTAGGAGTTGAGGAGAGGAGAGGAGAGAGGAAGAGAAGGAGGGACCGAGGGCCGCAAAAAGATGGGGAAGGAAATCAAGAGGGGAGGTTTGAACTTTTAACAAGAGAGAGCAGTGGAGGACGCAGGAGAGCTGGGGAAGAGGAAGGGAAACGCAGGAGAGCTGGGGAAGAGGAAGGGAAACGCAGGAAGAGTGCAGCAGGAAAGAAGCAGAGTGGGGGGGGCAGCGACCTGGGGCGTGGGGGGAGGCGGCGCGGTGTCGATGGGGTTGAGAGTGGTGGCGCGCTTGCTGAGTGTGCGCAGGGCCACAGCAGCATCGCGCTGCAGGCGGGGCGAGGGCGGCGAGGCGAGCATGGCGAGCAGAATGTCGAGCCCGCCCGCCCCCACGAAGATGGCGCGCTGCTGCCCCTCGGGACACAGGTGCGCCAGCGCTGCCGCCACCCGCCGCTGCACGCTCTTGTCTGACTGGCGCAGCAGGTACAGCAGATGCCGGAGCACCTGCCGGGTGGAGGAGCGTGCGAGTGTGGGAAATTGTGGGGAGGGTGGATGGGTGAGAGAGGCAGTGGTGGGAGGAGAGATGCGGAAGGGTGGTGAGAAGCGAGAAATGACAGAATTCCGCGCGGCCCTTAGACGCTTTTGTCCACAAGCCCACACTTACTCCCTCGCCTTCGCCCTCGCCCCAGCCCTCAACCCACCTTGCCCTCCATCTTCTCCTCCAGCCGTTTGAGTGTCTTCTGCACGCAGTCCTTGCTGGCCTGCACAATCAGCTCCGCATCCACCAGGCGCTGCACGCCGCCCTCCCTCACCACCTCCGACACGTTGTCCTGGCGCCGGCCAATGGGGGGCGGTGGGGTACGGGTGGGGGTGGGGTGGGGGTGGAAGAGGGAATGAGTGGACGCATTGGGGCGCAGAGAGTGCATGGCAGGAGGTCCCTCCCAGGTCAGGTCAATCGCATGCAGCAGATGGTGAAGCTGTGACCCGCCGCTCGTTGCCTTGCTGGTCTGCACGATCAGCTCCGCATCCACCAGCCGCTGCACTCCCTCCTCTCGCATCACCTCCAACATGTTGTCCTGCCACGCCAATAGTGGGGTGGTGGGAAGGACAGGGCATGGAAGAGAGAATGAGTGAAAGCATTGGGTGCAAGGAGTGCATGGCAGCACGCACAGGTCCAGTGGGTACACCAACCAGCCGCTGCACGCCGCCCTCCCTCACCACCTCCGACACGTTGTCCTGGCGGCATCCAGAGTGGGGGAAGGTGGGGGTCTGACCATAGGAGGGGTTGGAAAGAAAAGGTTTCGGAGGAGGAGGAATGGAGGAGGGGATGAGTGGAAGGATTGGGGGACTTGGCACGAAGCACAGATCAGAGGATAGAGCACATGGTCAAGCTGTGACCAGCTTGCTTGTTCCCTCCTATCCCGTCCTTTTTCTCCACCCCCTCACCCCGTTCTCAGCGAGCCCATAGAGAGCGAATGCAGCGTTGTGCTGCAGGTTGCCGTTCTTCGACCCCCCCGCTTGTTCCCACTCACAACACCCCCCCCATTCGCCCACTCACAACACCCCCCCCATTCGCCCACTCACAACACCCCCCCATTCGCCCACTCACAACACCCCCCCATTCGCCCACTCACAACACCCCCCCATTCGCCCACTCACAACACCCCCCCATTCGCCCACTCACAACACCCCCCCATTCGCCCACTCACAACACCCCCCCATTCGCCCACTCACAACACCCCCCCATTCGCCCACTCACAACACCCCCCCATTCGCCCACTCACAACACCCCCCCATTCGCCCACTCACAACACCCCCCCATTCGCCCACTCACAACACCCCCCCATTCGCCCACTCACAACACCCCCCCATTCGCCCACTCACAACACCCCCCCATTCGCCCACTCACAACACCCCCCCATTCGCCCACTCACAACACCCCCCCATTCGCCCACTCACAACACCCCCCCATTCGCCCACTCACAACACCCCCCCATTCGCCCACTCACAACACCCCCCCATTCGCCCACTCACAACACCCCCCCATTCGCCCACTCACAACACCCCCCCATTCGCCCACTCACAACACCCCCCCATTCGCCCACTCACAACACCCCCCCATTCGCCCACTCACAACACCCCCCCATTCGCCCACTCACAACACCCCCCCATTCGCCCACTCACAACACCCCCCCATTCGCCCACTCACAACACCCCCCCATTCGCCCACTCACAACACCCCCCCCATTCGCCCACTCACAACACCCCCCCCATTCGCCCACTCACAACACCCCCCCCATTCGCCCACTCACAACACCCCCCCCATTCGCCCACTCACAACACCCCCCCCATTCGCCCACTCACAACACCCCCCCCATTCGCCCACTCACAACACCCCCCCCATTCGCCCACTCACAACACCCCCCCCATTCGCCCACTCACAACACCCCCCCCATTCGCCCACTCACAACACCCCCCCCATTCGCCCACTCACAACACCCCCCCCATTCGCCCACTCACAACACCCCCCCCATTCGCCCACTCACAACACCCCCCCCATTCGCCCACTCACAACACCCCCCCCATTCGCCCACTCACAACACCCCCCCCATTCGCCCACTCACAACACCCCCCCCATTCGCCCACTCACTCCCCCATGCGTGCATCCTCCCCCACCCGCCACACTGCCTCACCCCGTTCTCTGCGAGCCCATAGAGCGCGAAGGCGGCGTTGTGCTGCAGGTTGCCATTCTTCGACTCCAGCAGCTCCAGCAGCGGCCGCAGCCCCCCGTCGTGCACTATGCCCGCCTGGTTGTCCGCGTTCTGCATGGGGGAAGGGGAGGAGGGGGGAGGACGGCGGGAGTTGAGTGGGGGAGAGGATGGAAGATGGCAGGCATTCAGGCGTGGAAGGTGGTGGCAGGAAACGGACTGCATGGGGGAAGTCGTGCGAGTTGAGGGAGTGGTGGGCACGCTGGGCGATGGAGGGGCGTGTCAGGCAGCCAGGAAGACTGCTGCTCTCATGGGCAACGCGTTAGGCATGCTCATTGGCCCACACGCACACCTGCGAGCACCTGAGAGCACCTGGGCGCACCTAAGCGCGTCCCACATGCCTCTGAGCGCACATGAATGCTGACAAGCGCACCTGCGCCAGTCTGCCGAGGGCAAAGGCGGCCATCTCCCTGAGCTGCGGGTCGGGCGCCTCCAGCATTGTGATCAGCGGCCGCACTGCCCCCCTCTGCACTATGCGCACCTGGGGCGTGGGCAGGGGGGAGGGAGGGAGGGGAGGGGAGAGGGAGGGAGGGAAGGGGGAATTTCAAGGATGAGACGAGAGAGGAAAGTGTGCGGGTCGGGCGCCTCCAGCATTGTGATGAGCGGCCGCACTGCCCCGCGCTGCACAATTCGCACCTGCGGCCCGGGGGGCGGAGGGGGGGAGAGGGGAGGGAAGGGGGAGACTTACACAGGTGAGACGAGAGGAGAGGGTGTGTGGTCCATTGTGTGAGGGGTGAAACACGCAGTGCAGTGGTGACCCTTGAGAAAATACTTGCAGTCGTGAGGCACATGCACAAGCACAAGGTGATTACTGCCATACTAAACCCTCGCACAGCAGGCAGCATGGCAGCAGCAGCGCACCTTGCATGGCAGCAGCAGCGCACCTTGCACTCGGGGTCCGTGGTGGCAAACTGCCCCAGCAGCAGCGCTGCCTCCCGCTGACTCTCCGTGCACCGCGAGCTGCAGTGGGTGGGGCAGGCAGGGCGGGGAGGGCAGTGGGGGCAGGGGTGGCCGTGAGGGTAAGGGGGGCAGTGAGCGCAGGGGAGACAAGATTGACATTGGGCGGGCAGTGTGAAAGTGAGAGAAAATGAGCCACGGGGAACCAGGGGATGAGGCACAAAGGGGTGGAGCAGCAAAGGGTAGGGTACCTGAGCAGGCCGATGACTGGTTGCAGCGCGCCCTCGTCCAGCACGAGCTTCTTGATGTTCATCGAGGAATGCACCAGATTGCCTATCACGCCCACCTGCCACGGGGGAGAAGGAATGGGCAGTCGAACACAGAGGTCAGTGGGCATGGTGGATGGGAAAAGTAAGGCGTTTGAGTCAACTCAAAACACGCCCTCGTCCAGCACACGAGCTTCTTGATGTTCATGGACGAGTGCACCAGGTTGTCGATCACCCCCACCTGCCACGGGGGGCGATGGTGGAACACAGGTTTCAGTGGAGTAGATGGAAAAGGTAAGGCGCTTGGCATTGCAAAAACAACCATCTTCCCGACAAGAGGCACCTTCAATTCAACATGCCCTCGCCTGCAGTGAACGCGGTCAATCACCACCTGACAGCACCCCCCACTGCGCCCATGCACTACTCGCAGTGGATGCCCGCCCGTGAGCACATACCCATGCACACACCCATACACACCCACATGCACACACACCCACATGCACACACACCCATGCACACACCCACATGCACACACACCCATGCACACACCCACATGCACACACACCCACATGCACACACCCACATGCACACACACCCACATGCACACACACCCATGCACACACCCACATGCACACACCCACATGCACACACCCACATGCACACACCCACATGCACACACCCACATGAACACACCCACATGCACACACCCACATGCACACACACCCACATGCACACACCCACATGCACACACCCACATGCACACACCCACATGCACACACCCACATGCACACACCCACATGCACACACCCACATGCACACACCCACATGCACACACCCACATGCACACACCCACATGCACACACCCACATGCACACACACCCATGCACACACCCACATGCACACACCCACATGCACACACCCCACATGCACACACCCACATGCACACACCCACATGCACACACCCACATGCACACACCCACATGCACACACACCCATGCACACACCCACATGCACACACCCACATGCACACACCCACATGCACACACCCACATGCACACACCCACATGCACACACCCACATGCACACACCCACATGCACACACCCACATGCACACACCCACATGCACACACCCACATGCACACACCCACATGCACACACACCCATGCACACACCCACATGCACACACCCACATGCACACACCCATGCACACACCCACATGCACACACCCACATGCACACACACCCATGCACACACACCCATGCACACACCCACATGCACACACCCATGCACACACACCCATGCACACACACCCATGCACACATACCCATGCACACACACCCATGCACACACCCACATGCACACACCCATGCACACACACCCATGCACACACACCCATGCACACACCCACATGCACACACCCACATGCACACACCCACATGCACACACCCATGCACACACCCACATGCACACACCCACATGCACACACACCCATGCACACACCCACATGCACACACACCCATGCACACACACCCATGCACACACCCACATGCACACACACCCATGCACACACCCACATGCACACACCCATGCACACACCCACATGCACACACACCCATGCACACACCCACATGCACACACACCCATGCACACACCCACATGCACACACCCATGCACACACCCACATGCACACACACCCATGCACACACCCACATGCACACACCCATGCACACACCCACATGCACACACACCCATGCACACACACGCACATGCACCTGCACACAGCCCCTGCACGCACGCCCCCGTCCACGCCCCCGAAGAGCATGCATTCAAGCACTCAAACAGACCACCACTGCACGCACGCACCGCTTCGTAGTGGATGCCCGTGTCCTCCGATCGCAGCATGAAGATGAGCGTTGGCAGCGCTCCGCACTCCACTATCTGCCGCCCACCATGTACGCAGGGAGGAGGGGAGTAGGGATGGAGATGTCGATTTGGCACGGAGATTCAAGGGATGAACCATGGAAATGTTAAGCGCACGTTCTCGCGGGTGTGCTTTCGCATGTGCAGGTGGGCATGCATGTGTGCCGGCCAGTGTGAATGTGGTATATGTGCATGCATCAGCACTGCTGTTTCAGCAGCCCACCAAGTTGGCGTTCGCAACCCTTCTGGCACGCACCAGGTTCTTATTGGCCTCGTTCTTGAAGGCGAGTGTCCTGAGAGCGCCTGCACCAGCGCGCTGCACCTTGGGGTCCAGCGACTCCAGCAGCTCCACCAGCGGTGGTATTCCGCCCTCCGCCCTGCATCATCCATGCCTCCATGCACACACGCACATGCACGACCAGGGGGGAAGGAGGGCACAGAGTGAGGGAGAGTGCAGAGAGGAAGGCGAGTGTCCTGAGAGCGCCTGCCCCCGCACGCTGCACCTTGGGGTCCAGCGATTCCAGCAGCTCCACCAGCGGTGGTATTCCGCCCTCCGCCCTGCATCATCCATGCACGTGCACGCCACCACGTGGGAAAGAGGGCAGGGAGTGAGGTGCGGTGCAGAGAGGAAGGTGATCGTCCGTTGACATGTGCCCCCGAAGCATGGTGAGCGGAAAACGGAGGGCAGGCAGGAGGAGGACGGCTGGGGAACGGGCAGGGCTGGAGAATGGGCTGTTGAGAGCGGGAGTGGGAGTGCAAGGCAAGGGAGGGTGTGACGCGAAGGGCGCACCTGACTCGGCTCTTGATGGTTCCATTCTCGTGCGCCAGATTCGTGATGGCGTCTGCTGCTCGCCGCACCACGCCATTCACCACACGCGCCACTGCAGGGCTCGCCCCAGCCCCCCCCTCCGCCCCCACTCCGCCTGCCCCCGCGCCTGCTCCCCCTGCCCCGCCTACATGCGCGCCCCCTGCTGCTGCGCCGTCTGTGGTGCCTGCGGGGGCGAGCCCGAGGGCGGTTGGCGCTGAAGCGGGCGCGGCTGCTGCTGATGCCGCGGGCGGTTGGCCTGGCCGCCGCTTTAGCAGCGCCACCAGCGCGGTGAGGGCGCCCGAATCCGCTATTAGCCGCTGGTGGTCGGGCTGCGCGGGGGGAGTAGGGGTTGAGCGGAGGGGGGAACCACCCTAGTGGATGAGAGGAGCTGGCGAGCGTGGTAGGTTGGCGGGTGGGAGGGCAGAAAGAATCAAGCAAACAAGTCATGTCAGAGAGAAATCTTCGCTAGGGGTGGTGGGACGGCTGGGAGGAGGAGGAGGAGAAGAAAAGGCAACCGGCAGCAGGCCGAGTGCTGACCTTGATGGCGAGCAGGCCGAGTGCTGACCTTGATGGCGAGCAGGCCGAGTGCTGACCTTGATGGCGAGCAGGCCGAGTGCTGACCTTGATGGCGAGCAGGCCGAGTGCTGACCTTGATGGCGAGCAGGCCGAGTGCTGACCTTGATGGCGAGCAGGCCGAGTGCTGACCTTGATGGCGAGCAGGCCGAGTGCTGACCTTGATGGCGAGCAGGCCGAGTGCTGACCTTGATGGCGAGCAGGCCGAGCGCGAAAGCGGCGTCCTTCTCGACCTCGTGCTCGCACGCGATTGGCCCGTCGCCCTCCTCCACCGCCGGCGCTGATAGGTGCGGCACGAGCGCGTGGATGGCACCCTCCTCCACTATGGCGTCCACGTGCTCCTCTGCACGCGCCACGTGCCGCGCACACGCACACGCACACGCACAACCGAGCACCGCACGGGACGGATGGATGGAGATTTGAGAGATTTGCAACGATACGAGCTGAGTGGATGCGAACGACGAATTACGGCGACGCCTGCTTAACCTAGTCGACCTGTTTCCGCTCCAGCATCTGTTTTATTCGGAATTCGCTACGCCACTTAGCAGACGCGAGAAAATACAGGCGCACCGTGATTGCGGCTCACCGTGCTTCGCGAGCTCCGCTATCGCATGAGCCGCTTTCCTCGCCGCCACTCGATCCGCCTCCCGCCACGTCAGCGACCCCTTGAGCACCGCGATGTGCGCCTGCACCTCTGCCGTCGCCAACGCGCGGCTGTCTTCCGAGCCTGAGGGGCACGCGGAGTCCGCCAGTTTCCGCTTGAGGTTCTTCCGCTCGCCGGAGTGCGACGAGCCCTGCTTCGGATCCATGCACCGACCCCCCCTTCCCGCAATAGCTCGCTCGCTCGCGCAGCCCCTCCCCCCCTTTCGCGCGAAGCCCTCAGCAGAACGAACTACGGAAAGGAATGCTGGCCCTTTCTTGTCTGTGACTTTAATTACCACTATGTACTATTGGCCCGCAGAATATCCACTAAGGTCGGTCTAGGTTAGGGAAACAGAAGCTAGGGATAGATGCCATGCCACTACAGGAGCTGTTCCCGAGGCCGACAGTTGTCAGAAACAGTGATCTGGGGGACGGCCTTGGGTGGGATGCGACACTCCTTGAAAAGGCCGCTCGCGAAAGGCCAGTCCAGTGGGCGAAGCAATTAGGCGACGAGCTGCGTAGGCTTCGCTGAGTGACGGAAACGACTCAGCATGGATTCTGTCGCGAGCCAATCGTGGGTCACTCACACCCTGACAGCTGAGTGGTTTGCTTTGGGTGATCTCCAGTCTCTACACGACCCACCCACTCCCGATAATCACCGTCACCCAATAACCATCACCATCTGAAGTACACTAAAATAGATTCTAGAACATTATTTCACTAATTCAGCACAGACCTAAACAGAATAATACAATGACACGCGCATTAACTACTTATTTCATTCTCTATGCCTTCCTGGACGACTACACTAACCAGCGACCACACTTGAGGGACTGATAAGACGTCAGTAGGAAGCTGGGGCGGGGCTTCCTATGTTGGATTGGTTACATGTGCATTAAATGATGGGCAGCAAGCAGTATTCGAGATAGAACAGGTTCCAGATGAACTGATAGAAGCGTGCAATGGCATCCTGGTAGCACGTGACATTGGGTAGGGAGAGAGGCAGAGGGAGGGGTTGCAATTGAAGATTACGAAACGCAGTGCGTGAAGAATAACAAGTTTTTAAACTGGAAGCAGTGCAAGGTAGCAGAGTAAACAACTACAGTATGGTGTTTGAAGAATAACAAGTGCTGAAAGTGGAAGCAGTGCAAGGTATCGACTAGATGAGTGTGTGTGGCACTCACCTTGGTGTAGGCTGCTGCATCCAACTTCCACGTCTGTAGCAGTGGGCACAAGAGGCAGAACAGCACAGCACAGCAGAGCGCAGACCCAAACAGCACGACGCATTAAGGACAGTGGAAAAGTAGTGTGTGAGGTGACATCAGCAACGAGCGCACGGGGCAATGGAGCACATGCAGCAGATAGGGTCACACATGGACAGCAGAGAGCAGAGCACATGGCATATGGCGCATGGTGCATGGTGCATGGTGCATGGCATATGGCAAACATGGCACAGGCCACCTCACCTGGTAGACGAGAGCAGCAGCGAGGAGCAGATGGGCGGGAATCATGACAGCCTGGCGAAACGCCTGGTGGGGGCACAGGGAGGGAGGGAGGGTGGGAGGGTGGGGGGCAGAGGAGCATGATAGAGTCCCCCCAGGAGACAAGTGATCAGCAATGGGATGCCTCTCTCTTGCCAAGAGACCAAGAGACCAAACCACACCAACGCATGGCCAGTCCTGGTATCAAGGGCCCCCAGGCACGCCCAGCCATGCCCACCCACACCCAGCCACACCCAGCCACACCCAGCAACACCCAGGCATGGCAGTGACCAGTGGTGCTCACATGTGGCAGCAGCAGGGCGGCAGCGACGGCGCCACAGTAGTTGGCGATGAGCAGCCCCGAGCCCAGGAAGGCGATGTTGCGCACCCCCAGGCGCGTGGCGAAGGTCTCTATCTTGAACCTGCCATGCACGGTATGGAGGGCGCAGGTGTAAGATATGCATACAGCCATGAGACATGCAGACTGATGACGAGGGCTTTTGAGCGCACCGGGCAACTACAAACGCATGGATGAGCATACGAAAGAAGAGACAAGAGAAGAAGAATTGAGCGAGGAATAACGAGGTGCACTCACTGCCTGTCGCCCTCGATGTCAGGCAGGTCCTTGGTGATGGCGATGACAGTGGCGAACAGCGTCACGAAGCACGTTATGAACACTATCGACGGACTGTGGGGTGGGTAGGCAGGCACACGCAGGCACACACAGGCAGGCAGAGTAGCACACAGACGCAGGGCGGTGGAGGGGGAAAGGGAGATGAGAGCATATGAGAAAAGAATGGCCTTTGGTGATGGCAATGACGGTGGCGAATAGCGTGACGAAGCACGTTATGAACACTATTGACGGACTGTGGGCGGCGGGTGGGCAGGCAGGCAGGCAGGCAGGGCGGTGGGAGGGGACGGAGAGGTGAGTGAGAGGCGACGAGGAACACGATGGATGGGCAGTGGGCGGCACATGCACACAGTGCACACACGGAGCATGGCGTGTGGGAGTCAGGGCGGTGGGAAGGGCAGGGCAGGGCAGGGCAGGGCAGGGCAGGGCAGGGCAGGGCAGGGCAGGGCAGGGCAGGGTTGAATTCAAAGGCTGTGCTGTGTGCCACTCCACTCCGCATCACAGCCACCTCAAAGCAGCCCCACCCCACCCCATTTCCCCTCCAACGGCCAACCCCACCACCACCATTCACCCCTCCCCTCTCCCCCCTACCCTCCCCCTCCCCTTCCCCCCCCACCCCACCCATGCTGCTGACGCACCTCCAGGCGAAGGGCAGGCCGAGTGCAGCGCGTGTGGCATAGTACACGCCGAAGTTGAGCAGGAATCCGCGCACCTGGGGGGAAGGGCGTGAGGGAAGAAACGGAGGGGGAGGGTTGGGGGGAGGTGGGGGGAAAGGGGGAGGGAGAGGCGAGGCGAAGGGCAGCCTCAGTGCAGCGCGTGTGGCATAGTACACGCCGAAGTTGAGAAGGAATCCGCCGAGGGGGATAGGTGGGGGATAGGTGAGGAAGAGGTCGGGGGAAGGTGAGGTAGAGGTGGGGGGAGGTTGAGATGGAGGTCAGGGGGGAAGGGGACGGGGTAGTTGGGGGGATGGTTGGTGGACGGGAAATGGATTGGGTGGGCAGGGGAGGGGGAGGGCAAGGGGAAGGGAAGGCTCACACTGGGCTGGGTGTGGGTGTGGTGGTGAGTGATTGTGTGGTGGGTGGGTGGGTATGGAAGAGAGCATACGGCCTCACAGTGGCGATGATGAGGAAGGCGGGCAGGGGGAACAGCTTGAGGCGCAGGAAAGGGAAAGACTCACAGTGGGGGGGTGGTGGGGTGGGGTGGGGTGGGGTGGGGTGGGGTGGGGTGGGCACAACAAGCAGCACTGGACAGCTCACAGTGATTGGGTGGGTGGAGGGCTCACCGTGGCGATGATGAGGAAGGCTGGGAGGGGATACTGCTTGAGGCGCAGCGGCGGCACCGAGTACACGGTCCCCAGCAGCAGCCCCAGCGCGTACAGCCCCGTGATGAGCCGCCCAAAGTTGAGCGCCACGATGGCCAGGCCGGCAGCTGAGAGCAGCAGACAGAGCAGCGCGGCGAGGGTTGGGGAGAGCTCGCCTGCTGCCACTGGCAGGAACGGCTTGTTCACCCTGGGGTGGGGAGAGGGGGGGAGATTGGGAAAGGAAGGAAGAAGGGGGAACGTGGAAGGGGGAAGGGGGAAGGGGAAGGGAAAAGAGTAAGCGGAATGGAGGGAGTAGACGGTTCCGAGCAGCAGGCCAGCCCCATTATTAGCCAGCCAAAGTTGAGCGCGGGTATCGTCAGGCCGCCTGCAGAGAGCAGCAGGGCAGGCAGAGGAGCGCGGCGGGCGTGCGGGAGAGCTGGCCTGCTGCCACTGGCAGGAACGGCTTGTTCACCCTGAAAAGGGTGGAGGGGAAGGGGGAAGAGGGGAAGGGGGGAAGGGGAAGGAGGAAGGGGGGAGGGGGAATGGGAGGAGGAAGAGTGGGGGAAAAGGAGGGAGTAGACGGTGCCGAGCAGCAGCCCCAGCGCGTACAGCCCCGTGATGAGGTGACTTTTGAGTCGACTCAAAAGCCCCAGCGCGTACAGCCCCGTGATGAGGTGACTTTTGAGTCGACTCAAAAGCCCCAGCGCGTACAGCCCCGTGATGAGGTGACTTTTGAGTCGACTCAAAAGCCCCAGCGCGTACAGCCCCGTGATGAGCCGCCCGAAGTTGAGCGCCACGATGGCCAGGCCGCCGGCTGAGAGCAGAGCAGCAGTCACAGGAGAGCCGCGAGGGTTGGGGAGAGCTCGCCCGCTGCCACTGGCAGGAACGGCTTGTTCACCCTGGGGGGGGGGAGGGGGGGGGGGGGGGAAAGGGGAAGGGGAAGGGGAAGGGGAAGGGGAGAGAAAGGGGTGTGGGGCGCAGTGGGAGATAGCTAGTTTGCTTGGTTGAGAGAGCGAAGATTAGGGGTGGGTGGGTGGGAGAAACGAGGAGATGAGTTGAGCGGAATGTAGGACCTTGGAGGGAGGGGGCACAGAGGGAGGGGGCACAGAGGGAGGGGGCACAGAGGGAGGGGGCACAGGGTATGGAGGTTGCCTCACTCTCTCATGCCTGCATAGCAACCCTCCTCCTGTCCCTCGCCCCTCGTCACCCCCCTGTGCTTACCTGTCAATGCCGGTGTCATAGATCTGGTTGATGCCCACAATGTACCCGTTGACCAGCGTTGACTCGGTTGACTGCACCTTTTACTGCCAGCTCGCACCTGTCAATGTCAGTGTCATAGATCTGGTTGATGCCCACGATGTACCCATTACCACACAGCAGCGCCAGCAGCCCTCTCAGTGCGCGCGGCATCAGCCCCCAGTCGATCGCCTGCGGGCTCTCCAGCAGCGCGCGCGCCACCACCGCGCTGGAGGGGGGGGGGGGGGGAGGAGGGGAGGAGGAGGGAGGGGGGAAGAGTGGGGGGGTGGGGTGGTGAGGGGTTGTTGTTCGTAAGGGGGCGAGGAGAAGAGGAGAGTGAGGTGTGGGTGTGGGTGTGGGGAGAGGGGGAAAACGGGTGCTGGGAGGTGGGTATGGCATGGCAGGGTGTGCGAGCGGGGCGGCGCCATACATACGCGCATGCCACAGGGGGGAGCGCGCACATGCAGTGGGCCAGCAGCGGCCATGCGCCTGCGCCTGCGCCTCGTGCGCGCATTCCCTCCGTCGCTCGCCTGACCTTCTGCCTCTTCGCAATGCCACGTGCCAGTAACCCGCCCCCTCACTCGCCCACTCTCATTCATTCCCAGCCCTCTCCAGCCAGCCCCGCGCGTGCTCTCCGCTCTGCCGCTTCCCTATCTCCTCCTCCCTGCCCAGGCCCTCCCCACCCTATCCCCCCATTCCCCACCCCCCAATCACCCCCTCCAACCCTCCACCCCCCCCGTTCTCACCAGCCAACCCTTCCCCCTTCCTTTCCCGCCCGCGCGCTCACGAGGTGCCGAGCACGGTGCCGCGGATGGTGTGCGGGCGGAGGAATTTCCAGAACGCGCGCTGAAACGCCACCACTCGCTCCGCCAGCCCCGCCCCCGCCGGGCTGCCCCCCGCCGCCCCCTCACCGCCTCCTGGCGCTGCCGCCCCCGCGCCCGCCGCCGCGGCCTGGTGCGGGATGGGGAGGAGAGGTGGAATGGGGAGGAAAAGAAGGATTGGGAGGAGAGGGAGGATGGGGAGAAGAGTGGGAACAGGGAGAAGAGGGGGGATGGGGAGGGGAGGGGGATGGAGAGGACAGCGCGCGGCGCGACGCAATGGTGGCAATTGCGCAAGGGACGCGGCGACGGGGGGCAGGAGCGGAGCTACAATCGGGCGCGAAGGGGGGCGAGATGGAGGAGGTGCGGAAGGAGAGAAGGGGATACGGACCCTGGCGGCTAGGCGATGCGGCCTGCGACTTTGCGGCAATTGACCCAGCGAAGTTCGTCGCTTTAGCTCTTCGCCATTCGCAAACGAGCTTCGCAACGCTGACGATGGGCATTGCGACGAGCCGGTTGATCGCCAAGATGGCCGAGACGCGGACGCGCAGGCGGGGGAGCGGGGCGAGAGGCGGGGAGAGGCGAGTGTGCGCGACGGGCGGAGGGCGGCGGAAAGACTCATGGCGGGGGCGGGAAGCGAGTAGCGCGCGCAGAAAAAGGGAGGTGAATGGGGCGCTACGCGGAGAGAAGAACGAGGAGGTGCGATCGCATGCCTCGGGAATGTCGCGATGTCAAGGCGAAGTGAAGAAGCGACAGGCGACTGCAAAACGAAAAGCGGATACTGATGGTGTGGTGAGCAGTAAATAGATACAAGCACAGACACGGGTGGTGGTGGGGTGGGGGAAGGCAGGAGGGATTGGAAGTGGAGTGGAGTGAGGGCCACGTGGCATTTGATGCTCGCGTGGCAGCTTCACAACCAGCAGGAATGAGTAGAAAAGTCCTCTAGGGAGAGACGCGCTAACAACGGACGTGGAGGTACAGCGATCTTACAAAACCAATGTCGTCATTCATGTGTAATTGCGTGTCGATGTTCCGTTCCGACGACAAACCGTTCCCGCACTTCGCAATATCGCGTCTGTACTGTACTCTGTCTCGCAAAGGGCAGCGCAGGTGCTGCGATGTTCGCTCAGCGCGTGGAACGAAATTGACGTGGATTTGGGGTGACTCCTCCGAAGGGGCTGGAAGGCAAGGTGAGCAGGGGTACAGGAATCTGAAAAAGTGGTTGAGCTCGGTAAAACACTCTTGCACGTACGAGAACCAACATAGGAAGATGGGGCGTGGCGACGATGACGCGAAGAAAACGGTCGTCGCGCAAGTCGAGGCGAAGCCCTGGTGGTTACGGGAGTGAAGTGGTCCTCTCTTTCTGGGGTGGAGTGAAGGTGGAGAGTGTATGGGGGGAGTGACACCTGACATCCATCCGGAACAGCGATAATCGCACATGGCGGGAGAGACAGCACAGCACAGAACAGTCTCAAAATATATATATTTATTGATGCGGCACTTGGCGTTGACTGGTTGACGCTAGGGACAAGCACTCTGAACGTTTCGGCGACGAGTGTCCCCCTTATCTGGATTGCTTGCGCGTGTCCCATGCACCTGCCGCGCTCCCTTCCGTCATCACGCGCCGAACCAGCTCTTCTGCCCTTCCGCACGCGCGCATAGCATCTCCGCCTTTCCTCCGGTCGCTGCCCCCTTTAGCCTCTCCGCGCGTGTCGCGCAGCGCCAATGGCGGAGAGGGCGAAATCTTCCCCCGGCTCTGGCTGGGGCGGAGTCTCCCTCCAGCTGCCCACCTTCTCCTCCTTCCCCGCAACTTCCGCCACACCCACCCCGCAGCCCTCCGCGCAAACCCCCTCGACCGCGCTGGCGGGAATGGCTTCCGCCTTCCAGTCCTTCGGCTCCGCCTTCCAGTCCTTCGCGGGCACAGTCGCCTCCGCTATGCCCCCCGTGTCCCCCCAGGGGAAGGCGCAGCCCGGCGGGCGGGGCGCGGGGGGGCACGCGGACGGCGAGCGCGTGCAGGAGTTCCTGCAGGAGCTCTCCGCCAAGTCGCAGCGAGGGGTTGGGGGCGGTGAGGAGGTGTACGACCCGGCGATGCTGACGGACGACAAGAAGCAGTGGAAGGAGCTGCAATCCGTGAACAGTGTACGGCTGTCGCTCCCCTTCCCCCTCCCAGTGCGGTGAACTGTGTAGGGCGCGCAGTGCAGTGAGAACTGTGTAGGGCGCGCAGTGCAGTGAGAACTGTGTAGGGCGCGCAGTGCAGTGAGAACTGTGTAGGGCGCGCAGTGCAGTGAGACGGCGTGCTGCCTTAGCATTCAACCAGTGCTGCTGCTCGCTCTGTCAAATTCTCTAACACGCTCGCTCTCTCACTCGCTTGCTCACCAGCGCAGCAGCAGGGCGCACTACAAGCGCCCTCCACTCCAGCTCACTCGCCCCTGCCTCACTCCCCATGCCTCCTCACCACGCCTCTCCTCTCCTCTCCTGCTCTCCCCACCTCCGCCGCTGCTCCCTCCCCCTCTTTAGCCTCTCTTCCACTCTCTCTCTCATTCTCTCCCCGTGTCCTCACCCTGTCTCCTGTCTCCCTGTCTGCGCCCCCCTCTTCTGTGCAGCACAACCGACTGCTGGGAGCCGACACATGTATCGACCATCTTGTGGTGGTGGGGCTGCACTGCACCCCAACGCGGATCTCAGTAGCCCCTCATCCCACCCTCTTTCTCCCCACTCCCTCTCCCCCATTGTTCCTCCCCCACAGCGCAACCGGTTGTTAGAAGCCGACACATTAACCGATCACTTGGTGGTGGTGGGGCTGCATCCCAAGGCGGACCTCAAGAGATGCCCTTGCAACAACCCACTCTTCTCCTTTCTCCCCATGTGTGTGTGTGTGCAGCGCAATCGCCTATTGGAAGCGGACACATTCATAGACCACTTCGTGGTGGTGGGGCTGCACCCCGAGGCGGACCTCAGCGCCGTGGAGGCGGCCTTCGCCACGCATAAGCGCGGGCAGCTCAACGGCACCATCAGTGACGCGCTGCCGCCGCCTGCTGTCAATCTAGATGCGCAGGTGAGCTATGCTGCTGCTGGGTTGCTGGGGTGGCCTTCGCCACACACAAGCGCGGGCAGCTCAACGGCACTGTCAGCGACCCCGTGCCGCCGCCCGCTGTGAACCTCGATGCACAGGTGAGTTGTGCTGGTGGGGCAAAGTAGGGTGCTGGGATGGCGTGGGGTGCTGGGATAAGGTCTGACGTTTGAGGCGCCTCAAGTGCCGTGGAGGCGGCCTTCGCCACGCACAAGCGCGGGCAGCTCAACGGCACCATCAGTGACGCGCTGCCGCCACCTGCTGTGAACCTAGATGCCCAGGTATGCTGTGGTGCTGGGGTGGTATGCTGTGGTGCTGGGGTGGTATGCCGTGCTGCTGGGGTGGTATGCTGTGCTGCTGGGGTGGTATGCTGTGCTGCTGGGGTGGTATGCTGTGCTGCTGGGGTGGTATGCTGTGCTGCTGGGGTGGTATGCTGTGCTGCTGGGGTGGTATGCTGTGCTGCTGGGGTGGTATGCTGTGCTGCTGGGGTGGTATGCTGTCAACCGCCACAAGCGGGCGGGCAGCTCAACGGGACCGTCAGTGACTCCGTGTCGCTGCCCGCTGTGAACCTAGATGCCCAGGTATGCTGTGCTGCTGGTGCACGGTGGGGTGCTGGCGTGGGTGCCTGCTGGGTCGGAGGCAGGAACCGTTCTCACTACCCCTCACACTTCCACCGCATGCTGCTGCTACCCTGTCTCATCCCCTGCCAAGGTGCAAAAAAACGACGTTTTTTTTCAAATTTTGATCGTAAAATACCGTATCGTAAGAAACGATCGTAAAAAACGAAAAAAAAAAAACGGTTTTTGAAAATAAATACTTTTGGTGCAAAAAAACCTTCGTTTTTTCCAGTAAAAAGACCAAAACTGCTGCTGAAACAAGGGGAAGATTGTTAGAAGTGCTTTTGTGATCAGAACAGCATCTTTGAAGTTGAAGAGTTTTTTTTGTCTAACAAAAAAAGGCCGTTTTTTTCCCAAAAGGTACCGTAAAAAACCATCGAAAAAAACAATCGTATTTTTCGACAATCGTTTTTTTCTACCTTGTCCCCTGCCCCACCTCCCCCCTCCCCTCCCTCCTCCCCCCAGCTGCTGTACAAGTGCCCGCCACACAACCAGAGACACACGTGAGTCGACTCACAAGGCCGCTCTGCCTCGTGCCCTCTCCCGTTCCTTTTCCCCCCTCCCGCCCCCGCCCCAGCTGCTGTACAAGTACCCGCCACGAAAGAAGCTTGCTCTCTCGCCCTCCGACCTGCCAGGCTTCTGCTTCCCAAACGGTGTTGAGGTGAGGTACAGTGAGGTGCGGTCAGGTGAGGTGAGGTGGGATGAAGTTTCATCATCCGTCCGTGTGTAAGTGTAGCTGCGTTTTCCCCGTTCAGCCACCCATCTGTAGGCCCCCCCACACACACACACACTCTTGGTCTTGGGCTGCTGTCTTACTCTCCTCGCCCGATTCTTCTCCCTGCTCCCTGATCCATGCTGTGTGCTGCCTGTTGTTGGCGGTGAGCAGGCGAGGTGCATGGAGAAGACACCGTCCATGAAGGGCTTCCACCAGTCCATCTACGGCCAGGTGCGCCTTGCATTCCCCCTCTCCTGCTCTCACTCGCTCCCCCCATATACCCTCCTCCTCTATACGCACACCCGCCTGAGCATCTCCACCTCTTTTCCCACTCTTGCACCCTCACTCACGCACTCACTCACGCACTCATTCACCCGCTCACTCACTCACCCCTCGTGCTCGCACTACCATCGCTCGTGGCGTTCACCTCACCCCTCCCTCATGCTGCTCGACACCCCTTCCCTCACCCCACAGGCACACCCGAGCGCGCACGGCTACGTGTATGTGTTCCTGCTGGCACTGCTCGCCGCCACACACTCACTCGCTCACTCACTCACTCACAGTCTCACTCATTCGCTCACCCAGTAACCCTGTCTCACACACGCCCCACAGGCATACCGTACAGCGGACGACAACGCCACGCTGTACAGCGTGTGCATGGTGGTGCACTAGCTGCTGCAGCGCCCGCCCTCCGTGCTCTCCCTCCCTCCCTCACTCACTCACCCACTCACTCACTCAGTCTCTCACTCCCTCCCTCCCTCCCTCCTTCCCTCAGTCATTCACACATTCACTCATTCACTCATTCACTGTCTCTCGCTCACCCTCGCACTCCCCCATCCCGTGCCCCACAGGCCTACCAGACGGCGGACGACAATGCATACGTGTTCCTCCTGGCAGTGGACGACAACGCCACGCTGTACGGGGTGTGCATGGTGGTGCACGAGGTCGTGCAGCGCCCGCCCTCCGTGCTCGCCATGAACAACGCCCTGCACGGCCCCAAGCCCGCCGGCCTGCCCTCCAAGTACCTTGTGACGGCACCGCGCTGCTACTGCTTCCTGACCCGCCTGCCGTTCTTCGACCTGCACTTTGAGGTGCTCAACACGTGAGTGGCTGGATGGGTGGATGGGTGGAAAGGAAATGCAGGGTGGATGGGTGAGGGTGCACCGACACACGCACGTTCAGTTCCGGTTACTAAGGGCCCTCCAGTCTGCTTCCTCCTGCGCCTGCCCTTCTTCGACCCGCACTTTGAGGTGCTCCACACGTGAGTGGGTGAGAAAACGGGATGGTTGGGAATGCTGGATGGATGGAAAAAGCAGGGTGAACGCGTGCGGAAAGGAAACAGGGCGGATGAATAAGCAGGGTAATGACGTTGACCTCCCTCTCCCTCCTCCCCCCCAGCATCCTGGTACAGGAGCAACTAGACCACATGAAGCAGCACATGCGGAGCATCAACGCCAGCAGCGCATGCCATCTCTCTTCCCACCCGTGCACCACCTCTCGACACCCGTCCACCCCTCCCTGCCACCTTTCTCTCCCCACATCACCCCCCCACCCCTTCCCCAGCATCCTGGTGCAGGAGCGCCTGGACCACATGAAGCAGCACATGCGGCGCATCAACGCAGGGGGCATCCAAGCCATGCGACGGGGGGGCTTTCACAGCGACGACGACGACGATGACGACGATGACGATGACGATGGCATGGGCATGGGCGCGGGTGGGAAGTCATTTCGAGGCAAGAAGAAGAAGGAGAAGGATCCGATGTCGTTCGCTGTGCCGGTTTCCACGCTCGCCCCGGCCCACTCCTTCTCTCGCTCGCCGTCGTCGCGGCGGCTGCAGGGCGTGATGAAGCTGAAGGGGGAGGCGGAGCAGCAGGTGGGACGGCGGAGCTTTAAGAGCTTAAGGGGCCTGTCGAATGTGAAGGGGCTGCAGGGGTTTATTGCCCAGCTGCAGGCGGAGCAGCGTGGGGAGGAGGGGAAGGGGGGTGGGGAGGGGGAGGGGATGGCGGAAGGGAGGATTGAGGAGGGCGAGGAGGGAGAAGAGGGGGAGGAGGGGGAGGAGGGGGAGCAGAGCAGTTTTGCGGAGGGGGAGGAGGAGGGGGAGGGTGAGGGGGAGTGGGAAGGCAAGGAGGAAGAGCAGGATGAGGACGAGGAGATGGAAGCGGGTATGGCTGAGGGGAGTGAGGAGGAGGCGGGGGAGGGCGAGCATGAGGAGCAAGAGGAGGAGGAAGCGGGAGAGGGAGAAGAAGAGGAGGAAGACAATGACGATGAGGAGTTTTCTATGAGGCAGGCAGTGCGGCGGGGCCGGCTAATGGTGCCGAAGGAGCTGCTGCAAGCACACGAGGAGGAGGCGGGGCGGGCGGGCGCCGGCGGTATGTGGCGTTCGGATAGCATTGGGTATGGCATGGGGGACGATGAGGTGGATGGGGAACTCAAAGAGCATGTGCGGGAGTTGCTGGGGGAGCTTGTGGGCGGCGCTGGGGAGGACGAGGAGGAGGAGGGAGAGGGGGAGGAGGGAGAGGAGGGAGGGGAGGGGAACGTGCATATGGAGGGGGGTTTTACGTTCATAGCGGGTGTGCTGAAGCGGAGCTATCGGGAGCTGGGGCGGGAGTGGGGTGAGGAGGGCTGTGAGGAGGAGAGGCAGGGCGCGGGTGGCAAGGCCGCCAAGAGCCCTAGAGCTCCCAAAAGCCCCAAGAGTGGCAAAAGCCCGAAAAGCCCTAGGAATGGCAAGAGCCCTAGGAATGGCAAGAGCCCTAGGAATGGCAAGAGCCCTAGGAATGGCAAGATCCCTAGGGAGAGGAGTGGGTGTGAGGATGGGGTGGGTGGCAGGGAGGCGGGTGTGGGGGACGAGGGGAAGGTTCGGGCGTCGTCACGGCGGCGCAAGACAGTGTCGTTTGGGGAAGCGGATTGGGGGGAGGAGGGTGAGAACGATGCAGAAACGGGGGAGGGAGGAGGGGGGACGGGAAGTGCCGGGGAGGGAGGGGAGGAGGGGTTGGAGGAGAGTGGGACGGTGGGTGGGGGGAGGGGTGGGAGGAGGAAGAAGCTGGAGCGAGTGATGACTGTAGAGTCTGGGGAGGCGAGGAGGAGGGCGGAGAGGGAGGAGGACAGTGAGGTGGAGAAGAAGGCTCACAGAGAGAGACAGCGCCTGGTGCGGCTGATGACTGTGGAGAGCGGTGGAAAGGGATGGGAAGGCGGAGAGAGGGAGGAGGAGGACGAGGAGGAGTGGGGGGAGGAGGAGGAGGACGAAGTGGAGGAGGAAGAGGAGGAGGAGGGTGAGGAGGAGGAAGAGGAGGAGAGGAGGACAGTGGGGCGGCAGGGAAAGAAGCTTGTACGTCTGATGACAGAGGAGGCAGGGCGAGCAGGGGGGAAGGCGCTGGGTGGCGGGAAGAAACTGGTGAGGCTGATGACTGAAGAGGCGGGGCGGGCAAAGGGGAGGGGGGGAGGGGAAGTGGAGGAAGGAGAAGAGGAGGGAGATGAGGGCGAGGAGCAGGTAAGGAACAAGAACACCGGTAGTGGCAGGAAGAAGCTGGTGCGTCTGATGACAGAGGAGGCAGGGCGAGCAATGGGGAGGAAGGGAGGTGGGGAAGTGGATGAAAGTGGGGAGGAGGGAGAGGAGGGCGAGGAGAGCGAGTTGCAGGTGAAGAGCGAGGGGAGGGGCAGTGGCAGGAAGAAGCTGGTACGTCTGATGACAGAGGAGGCAGGGCGAGCAGGGGGGATGGAGCGAGGTAGCGGAAAGAAACTGGTTAGGCTGATGACTGAAGATGCGGGGCGAGCAGCAGAGAGAGGGGGAGGTGGGGGGTGGGAGGAAGAGGAAGAGGAGGTGGAGGAGGATGAGGAGGAAGAGGAGCAGGTAAGGAGCGAGGTGGGCAGGAGTGGGAGGAAGAAACTGGTGCGTTTGATGACAGAGGAGGCAGGACAAGCAAGTAGGAAGGGAGCAGGTGGGGGGAAGAAGCTTGTTCGACTGATGACTGAAGAAGTGGGGCAAACAGAGGGGAAGGGGGCAGGGGGGAGGAAGAAGTTGGTTCGATTGATGACTGAAGAGGTGGGGCAGGCAGGGGGGAAGGGGCCAGGTGGGGGTAAGAAGCTGGTTAGACTTATGACCGAAGAGAATGAGGCCTTGGGTACCATGGGAGAGGACGAGGAGTGGGACGATGAAGAAATGGTTACGCTGTGGGAGGGGGAGGATGAGAGCGAGGAGGAGGAGGAGGAGGAGGATGAGGAGAGTGGAGAGGAAGGGGACGAAGGCAGGCGCATGGGAGGCCCGAGAGGGTCCTCTTTGAAGCTGCGACGCTCCATGACTGTAGACGACGATGATAACCCGTTAGGCCCGTGCCCTTATAACGAGTACGACATGCGTGCTGGCACCGGGGGTAGCAAGGCGGCGAAAGGCGATGGGGATGGGGCAGGAGAGGGTGGGGGCCGTTGGGGCATGGAGCGCAAGGCGTCTCTGAAGCTGGCTCGCAGCCTCACTGAGGACTCGGGGTGAGCAAGGGCGCATGTGTATGGGGTATCGCAGCCTCACACATGTGTGTTGGTGTGGTGTGGTGTGGCGTGGTGTGGTGTGGTGTGGTGTGGTGTGGCGTGGTGTGGTGTGGTGTGGCGTGGTGTGGCGTGGTGTGTCACTGAAGCTGGCTTGCAGCATCAGTGAGGACTCCGGGTGAGCAGGGGCACAGGTGTGCTGGGGTGTGGTGTGGTGTGGTGTGGTGTGGTGTGGTGTGGTGTGGTGTGGTGTGGTGTGGTGTGGTGTGGTGTGGTGTGTTGCCTCGCTGAAGCTGTATCGCAGCCTCACTGAGGACTCTGGGTGAGCAGGGCTGCGCTGGTGTGTGATGAGGCGGTGCAGGATGAACTATTGGAATGGTGCCGTGTGGTGTGGTGTGGTTTGGTATGGTGTGCTCGGAAGGTCACCCACTCATTCCTCCGCTTCCCACCGCCCATGCCCCGTGCTGCAGGTCGGATGAGGAACTGCCAGGGTACGAGGGGGAGGGGGACGAGGAGGAGGGGGGCGGGGGGGAGAGTGAGGAGGAGGATTCGGAGGAGGAGCAGTATGGGGATGAGGAGGAGGACGACGACGACGATGCTTTCTATCGCGGGCTCGTGGAGGGGGGGGAGGGCGAGGGGGCGGGGGGGGGAGCGGGGGGAGGGGGAGGGGGAGGGGGACTGCGGGGCGGAGGCTGTGCGGCAGTGGGCCGAGGTGAGGCGAGGGGGAGAGGGGGAGAGAGGGAGGGAGGAAGAGAGGCGGAGAGAGGGGGAAGGTGTGGAATGGGTAGATGCCCTCTGCAAGCCAGCTTGTTCGTAAAACATGGTGCCTTGTGCCCCAATGCCGTCTATCCCCCGTCCTCCCAAACCCCCTCCCGATCCTCTCTACCCCACCCCCCCAGGAACATCACAACGATGTGCTGCACAAGTGTGCGCATGCCACACATCCACAGGTCCCTCTGTGCGGGCAGGCCATGCTGTTCCACCCGCTGCCTCACCTGCTGCCGCTCAAAAACCTCCCTTCCCCTTCCCCCTTCCCCATTCCCCCTTCCCCCGCCTCCCCCACAGGATCATCACAACGACGCGCTTCAAATCGTGTGCGCGTACCACACCTCTGCAGTCCCTCCGTGCGGCCAGGCCATGCTCTTCCACCCGCTGCCGCACCTGCTGCCGCTCGGCTTCTCCCGCAGCGAGCTGGATATTGACGAGCGCTGCTTCCCCGCCCACGCTGACGACTTGCTCCTCAGAGAGCTCATGCATGCTGAGGAGGCCGCTGGGGTCGCGTGCTTCGCCGTTGCTGCTGCGTGTCGTGCTCTCAGCCTCGATAATGTGAGTCAAACTCCGCAGCGAGCTGGATAATGATGAGCTCTGCTTTCCGCCCCACGCTGACGACCTGCTTCTCCGATGCACGCCGAGGAGGCTGCTTCTCCCATGCACGCCGAGGAGGCTGCTTCTCCCATGCACGCCGAGGAGGCTGCTTCTCCCATGCACGCCGAGGAGGCTGCTTCTCCCATGCACGCCGAGGAGGCTGCTTCTCCCATGCACGCCGAGGAGGCTGCTTCTCCCATGCACGCCGAGGAGGCTGCTTCTCCCATGCACGCCGAGGAGGCTGCTTCTCCCATGCACGCCGAGGAGGCTGCTTCTCCCATGCACGCCGAGGAGGCTGCTTCTCCCATGCACGCCGAGGAGGCTGCTTCTCCCATGCACGCCGAGGAGGCTGCTTCTCCCATGCACGCCGAGGAAGCTGCTTCTCCCATGCACGCCGAGAAGGCTGCTTCTCCCATGCACGCCGAGGAGGCTGCATCTCCCATGCACGCCGAGGAGGCTGCTTCTCCCATGCACGCCGAGGAGGCTGCTTCTCCCATGCACGCCGAGGAGGCTGCTTCTCCCATGCACGCCGAGGAGGCTGCTTCTCCCATGCACGCCGAGGAGGCTGCTTCTCCCATGCACGCCGAGGAGGCTGCTTCTCCCATGCACGCCGAGGAGGCTGCTTCTCCGATGCACGCCGAGGAGGCTGCTTCTCCCATGCACGCCGAGGAGGCTGCTTCTCCCATGCACGCCGAGGAGGCTGCTTCTCCCATGCACGCCGAGGAGGCTGCTTCTCCCATGCACGCCGAGGAGGCTGCTTCTCCCATGCACGCCGAGGAGGCTGCTTCTCCCATGCACGCCGAGGAGGCTGCTTCTCCCATGCACGCCGAGGAGGCTGCTTCTCCCATGCACGCCGAGGAGGCTGCTTCTCCCATGCACGCCGAGGAGGCTGCTTCTCCCATGCACGCCGAGGAGGCTGCTTCTCCCATGCACGCCGAGGAGGCTGCTTCTCCCATGCACGCCGAGGAGGCTGCTTCTCCCATGCACGCCGAGGAAGCTGCTTCTCCCATGCACGCCGAGAAGGCTGCTTCTCCCATGCACGCCGAGGAGGCTGCATCTCCCATGCACGCCGAGGAGGCTGCTTCTCCCATGCACGCCGAGGAGGCTGCTTCTCCCATGCACGCCGAGGAGGCTGCTTCTCCCATGCACGCCGAGGAGGCTGCTTCTCCCATGCACGCCGAGGAGGCTGCTTCTCCCATGCACGCCGAGGAGGCTGCTTCTCCCATGCACGCCGAGGAGGCTGCTTCTCCCATGCACGCCGAGGAGGCTGCTTCTCCCATGCACGCCGAGGAGGCTGCTTCTCCCATGCACGCCGAGGAGGCTGCTTCTCCCATGCACGCCGAGGAGGCTGCTTCTCCCATGCACGCCGAGGAGGCTGCTTCTCCCATGCACGCCGAGGAGGCTGCTTCTCCCATGCACGCCGAGGAGGCTGCTGGGGTGGCTTGTTTTGCTGTTGCTGCTGCTTGCCGCTCTCTCAGCCTTGACAATGTGAGTTGAAACGCCTTCATGTGCGTGCTGCTGTGGTTGTCACATGCCCGTCGTACCACCCATCGGGCTTTCCTCATTCTCCCCCCTCCTCCTTCCTCCTTCCCACTGCTCTATCTATCCCCCTCTCCTCCCTTCCCTTTCCCTCTCTCCTCCTCCCCTCCCCTCCCCTCACATCACATCTTCCCTTCCTTTCCCATCCCACCTCCCCAACGTCTCCCCCGCCCCCACACCCTTGCCAGATCCTCACAGTGCTAGCAGCAGTGCTGTTGGAGTGACAGATTGTTTTCGCCTGCCCCAACCTCTCCCTCACTCCTCTCCACGCCGCCCACGTCTCCCCTCCCCTGCCCCCGCCGCTACACCCCCCTTTCAGATCCTCACGGTGCTGGCAGCGGTGCTGTTGGAGCGCCAGATCGTCTTCGTCTGCCCCAACCTGGTGCGTGCATGCCATTGCGGCAGCGCCGTTGCTTCCCTCGTCCTGCTCATGCTGTTGCTGCGCCCCTGCTGCTGCCGCATCACTCCCGAGCCACTGCTGCTGCCGCTAAACCCATCCGTCAGCTTTCAGTTCAGTTCCATATGCCCCCCTTCAGCCCCCCTCTCGTGCCTCATCCCCCACGTCTTCTCCAACCAGCTGCACCTTTCAAACCACCCAACCCCTTCCCTTGCCCAACTCTTCCCCCCTTGTCCCCAACCCCTCCATTCCTCCCTTCTTCTCCTCATCCTCCCTCCCCCAACCCCTCATCTCCCTCCCCTCCCTCTCCCCCTTTTGCCTGTGCGTCGGTGCAGAGTGTGCTGTCAGCGGTGGTGCTGTCGCTCATCCCCATGATCCGCCCCTTCTCCTGGCAGTCCGTGCTGCTGCCGGTCCGTGCCGCTCTTCCCTCCCAGTCCTCTCTCCTCTATCATCCCCCATGCTACACCCTCTCTCCTATTGCTCTCTCCTCGGCTCTTTCGTCTTTCTTTTCTCCCTGTCTGCTGCCACCAGTTGCACTGAGCACCCGCTGTGCTCGTGTTGCCTGTTTTCTGTGTGAATCCTGCTGCCAGGAGACAAGCCACCATCTCATTGCTGCCGTGCCGCTTCTTACTCAATGCCCATCCCTATGATCTTCCGTCCACCCCTCTCGACCTCCATCCCTATTCTCCCACCCCAACCCCCTCCGCCACAGATTCTACCCAGCCAGCTCCTCACATTCCTCGATGCGCCCGTACCTTTCCTTGTGAGTCTTGCGTTTCCTCATCAGTCGCGTTCTCCTCGCGTAATGATGCATGCGACACTGCGATTGTGATTATGATTGTGACAGCAGCCTTTCCCTACTCTTCCCTCTTTCTCTCCCTTTTCCCCTCCCTCCCATCACCCCACTCCCCTCCCCCTTCCCCTCCCCCTCCCCTCTTCGTCCCCCTCCCTATCACCCTCCCCCTCCCTCTCCCCCCGTGGTGCCATGCAGGTGGGCATGCAGTACAAGACAGTGGAGCTCAAGGACCGAGCCAGCAACCTCATCCGAGTGAACATTCCCAAGGACAAGGTGAACATTCCCGGACAAGGTGAACATTCCCAAGGACAAGGTGAACATTCCCAAAGGCAAGGTGAACATACGGTGAGAAGGACAAGGTGAACATTCCCCCAAGGACAAGGTGAAACCAACCCCCCTTCTCTATCCATTCGTCCTCTTCTTCACCTTGCGGCAACTTCCTTGCTGCACTTACCACCCACTCCACTCCGCTGCTCCCCTTCTCCCTTTCTCCCCACCAGGTGAAGGTGCCCACGTACCTGCCGCGCCTACCAGACGAGGTGGACCTGTACAGCCGCCTCGAGCCCTTCCACTCTGCGCTTGCGTCCGTGCCGCACGCTGAAAAGCGCCCCATGTACCGCACCACTGAGGACCAGGTGAGGCTCGGACGTACTCCCAGTGAGCTGTGGTGCTGAGGGGGAATCTGTTCTTGAGGCATCTCAAAAGCAGCTGCCTCGAGCCCTACCATTCTGCACTCGCCTCCGTGCCGCACGCTGAAAAGCGCCCCATGTACCGCACCACTGAGGACCAGGTGGGGGTATTTCCGTGCATATTTCCAGTGAGCTGCGGTGCTTAAAATTTTGTTTTTGAGGCGCCTCAAAAGCAGCCGCCTCGAGCCATACCATTCCGCCCTTGCCTCTGTGCTGCACGCTGACAAGCGCCGCATGTACCGCACCACTGAGGACCAGGTGGGTGCAACAGATTGTCAGGTGAGTCCAGGCGGACGCAATAGAGGACCCAGGTGGGCGCAACAGTGGACAAGGTGGGGGTCAGGAGGGGGAAACAGAGGGCCAGGTTGGGTGTAGGGCCAGGCGGGCATTGCAGAGGATAAAGCGGATTGTGTTGTGTGGTGTGGTGCACAGCAACCACAGATCAGCCATGCGCATGCATTATCATCTCCTTCTTTCCCATTCACTCCTCGCTCTTTCTCACTCATTTTCTCCCTCTTTCTGTATGTGTGTGCGTGTGTGTGTTTGTGCACACGGGTGACGGCTGCAATGGGTGTGTGAGTGAGTGTGAGTGCGAGAGGGATAGCAGGTGGCAGCAGCGCACGGCTTTCTGATGACGCTGAGGAGCTACATCGACACCTTCTGCACGGACGTGCGCATGTCACTCCTGGCTCTTTCTCACCCGTTTTCTCCCTCTTTCTCTGTGTGCGTGTGATTGTGAGAGCAGGTGGCAGCAGCGGATGGCTTCCTGCTGACGCTGAGGAGCTACATCGACACCTTCTGCACCGACGTGCGCATTCACACCATCACCAGCGTCAATCAGGGCGGCCAGCGGGTGAGTGTTGTGTCTAATTTTACAGCTCCAGAATGTCCTAGAATTTCTTGAATCATGTACTCCAGTGAACTTCAACATGTGGGTATGGGTGGGATGGCATGGGATGGCATGGCATGGGATGGCATGGCAGGTGTCACTTCTTCTCAAGGAGAGCTTTGTCAACGGCTTCCCAGAGGATGACCAGGAATTCTTTCAGGCATGCTCCTCCCCTCTCCTACTACGCACTGGCCCTGCTTGTTTAAATGATCTGTCCATCTTCATTGTACTATATTGCGCCAGTGTTTTCAGCATCACATTACGCGCTATGTTTCTTGTTCAACTCCAAAGAGTTGCATGATTTTTTTGTTGTTGCAGGTGTTCGCTGGCACCCAACTCTTTACCATGCATATCGATACATTGCTGGCCTCTGATGAGGTTATGTAAGCCTGTGAAGCCATGAACTAGTTGCTTTGCCTAGTGGTTTTGGTGTTTGTTTATCTTATATAATAACTCTTAGTGTAAATTTTTACATTCGTACTTGCAATGCTGCAAAAGCACACGTGCGGGTGAATGGCATTTTTTGTCCATGATTTGCGACCAGTCAGAGGCTTTTACGAATCTACCCTGGACACGGTAAGATTCAAGGCGAGTAAAACAACGCCACCTGGATGTTCTCTCCACTCCTGACGCTTTTGTAGCACGTGACAAAAGCACTTCCGCCGTTCCGCGAATGACATGCCTTGGATGAAGGCGATGCAATTTTGATGTGGAATTGGCAGATGCCAGCTGGCACAAACCGTGAGAAAGCACACGAGCAGTTCCATGCGCTGCGAGATCACGTGACACGGCAGCAATTCCACCCGCATTCCAACAGGGGCGAATTCGTGCAGTCGAGGCGCATTCGCCCTATTCTTGTCACGGCAGATTGAACCAGAGGGACAGGTAGCCCGTCTCCGCCCTTTACCACTTTCCCGACTGTCTTGAAGCTTGCTCTCGTTTGGCATTCTTTGACTAATCTCGATCCTCACAACAGTAGACCTGCGAGTCTAGCTCTCCACCCCAGTAGCTCTCCACCCCAACGCCACTCTTCTTCCCAAGCCCTCAACTCGAATCCACCATTGCCGCTGCTTGTTGAAGCACCTCGCCTTTGTTTTTTCCAAGAAATGGCGTTCAGACGTGTACTTAGCCGCGTTGCGTCGTCTGTCCGACAGGTACGAATCTTGTTGTATTGACTTGACGCGATGCGGATTCGTCGTGCTCTGAGCGAATCGCTCTTGCTAACCAAAAAGAGCAAAAATCAATCCTCCATTTGGCGTTTTACTGGAATAACAATCTCCGGTTGAAAGGCGATGTGCCGTCGCTCAATCCCTCTCCCGATACTCTGCTGCCTACCCCCTTTCTCCTTTACCCTCTCACCAGGCCGCTTCTAAGCCCGGCGGCGTTCTCAAGGGAGTGGAAGACGTCGCACCGCACCGCCTCTCCTCCACGGTGCGCCGCCGCAGAACCCGCGTCTTTCCTTGTGCCGTGCCGCCTTCCCGCACTACGCTCAAATTCTTTCGTCCCAACGTTCTCCCATTTTGCTGCGAGCTTATCCACGTCGCCTCCTCATTTCTTCGCCATCTTGCCATTGCCCTCCCTCTCGCCGCTTGTCGCCTCGCCTGCGCGCTGTTCGATGCGCGCTGCGCGCTGTGCGTTGCAGTTGCCGCAGCGCGTGCCGGAGCTGGTGGACCTGCGGGAGACGATGGAGGAGGTGGTGCCGGAGCAGCGCGCGCGACTCGCGGCGATTAAAGCCAAGTACGGCGACATGGTTCTGGGCGACGTGACCGTTAACATGGTACGCGCGCGCGCGCCTCGTCGCGCCCTTCCTATTCCTCCGCCGTCTCGAACGCGAAATGACAATGCGTCGAAGTTGCGAGATGCCACTTTGCTGCATATATAAGCCACTTGTGCCGTCGCCGCTTTGTTTACTCATCCGAGTATGCATCGAGTGCGAATCACGAGTGTGCATCATTCCGACGTGCCACGTGGCAGGCGGTGGGCGGAATGCGCGGCATCAAGGGCCTTCTTTGGGAGACGTCGCAGCTCGACCCGCTCCAGGTACCACCCGCTCCAGGTACCACCCGCCCAGGTACCAACCGCTCCAGGTACCACCCGCTCCAATTGTCATCCCTGCTTTGTCACTTACCCCCCTCGCCACCTTTCCGCCCGTCTTCGTCCCTCCTCTGCTCCATCACTACTTGCTCTCATCTTTCCCCTCCTCCGTCTTTCCCCTTTCTCCCTCTTTTCCTCCTCTCCCCCCTTTCCCCCACGCTTTTTCCACCATTTCGCCTCCTCGCCTCTCCCGCTCTTCCCTCCACCGGTGCGCCGTGCGCCAGGGCATAAAGTTCCGCGGGCTGTCCATCCCCGAGTGCCAGGCGCAGCTGCCCTCCGCGCTCGACGGCGGCCAGCCGCTGCCCGAGGCGCTGCTCTGGCTGCTGCTCACGGGGGAGGTGAGTTAGGGGGTGACTGTAGCGGGCGAGTTGAGCTGGGGGGTGACTGTAGCGGGCGAGGGCAGTGGGCGGATGACTGTAGCGGGCGAGGTGAGTGGGGGGTGACTGTAGCGGGCGAGGTGAGTGGGGGGTGACTGTAGCGGGCGAGGTCAGTGGGCGGATGACTGTAGCTGGCGAGGTGGGGGTGACTGTAGCGGGCGAGGTGAGTGGGGGGTGACTGTAGCGGGCGATGTGAGTGGGGGGCTGACTGTAGATAAGTGACTGTAAGGGCGTGGCTGTAACGGGGTGATTGCAGTGTGGTTGTGCTGGGGGAGATGATATAGGTTTTCCATGCTAATGCAGATGAATTGCACGCTCTTCCCACCTGCGCTTCCAGCCCCTCCTTTCCCTATCGCCCACTCCCGCCCTTCCCCCCCACACCACCAGGTACCCACGGAGGAGCAGGCGGTGTCGCTGGCTGTGGAGCTTCAGGACAGAGCGAGACTTCCAGGTAGGTCACTATGACGCGGGTGACTATGACGCGGGTGACTATGACACGGATAATGTGCTGTAATGGTGCCGTTGATATACAGGACTGTCATGGGTGTGACTTGATCGTCCAAGGATGAGCGTTGCTCGCCCTACCCCTCGCTCTGCCCCTCATGCTACGGCCTCTCTGCCCCTCTCGCTCTTTCTCCCCCACAACGCAGATGCGGTGTGTCAGATTATTTGGTCGCTCCCCCCATCGCTAAAGTCAGCTCTCCATAGCCGTGCTCACCCTGCAATGCTCCTCCAAGTCCCAAACTCTCTTCTTTCCTCTTTTTCCCCCCTCCATTCTCTCCCTTGTCGCTCTCTCCCACTCCCAATACAGACGCGGTGTGTCAGGTGATATGGTCCCTCCCACCATCGCTGCACCCAATGACTCAACTCTCCATAGCCGTGCTCGCCCTGCAGCGCACCTCCAAGTTCGCAGCCGCGTACCACCGCGGCACGCACAAGCGGGACCTCTGGCGCTACGCACTAGATGACAGCCTAGATCTGATCGCCGCCCTGCCGGAGATCGCCGCCCGGATCTACAACCGCAGCTGCAAGGAGGGCGGCGCGCGGCCGGGCGTGCGGACGGCACGGGAGGATCTGGACTATGCGGGGAACCTGGCGCACATGATGGGATTCGATGATGAGAGGATGGACGAGCTGCTACGGCTGTACCTCACCATCCACGCGTGAGTCGACTTACAGAGCTCCTATGGCTGCTGCACCTTACTAGGCGGGGAATCTGGCGCACATGATGGGGTTTGACGAGGAGCGCATGGACGAGCTCTTGCGCCTCTACCTCACCATCCTCGCGTGACTGGCTAATAGGTGCTGCCACTTCACTGTCACCCACATTCCCTTATGTGCTCTCTTACATGCTCCCTCCCACTCATCTCCTCTTTCCATGTCACCTCCCCAGTTGCTATCGTCTAATCAACCTACCATCGCCTGACCTGTGCGCTATGTGACCATCGGTGCATGCAGGGACCACGAGGGCGGCAACGTGAGCGCGCATGCCACCCACCTGGTGGGGTCGGCGTTGTCCGACCCGTTCCTCGCCCTCTCTGCCGGCCTCAATGGGCTCGCCGGCCCGCTGCACGGGCTGGCCAATCAGGTGAGAGCTGGCTGCTGGCATGCACCCCCAACTGCTCGTACCTCCGGTTGCCCACCCCCAATGCAACATTCCTCATTCCTCCCACGAAACTGTTCAACGCAGCGAGCCTGTTGGAGGCAGCAAAACTGTCTGAGGCAGCAAACCTGTAGACCATGTTCGCTTCGCAGCCTCCAACAGGTTTGCTGCGTCAAACATGTTTGCTGCCCGAATGGCAAATGGGAGGAGCACGTGGGCGTGGGGCTGACCCCAGCACTACTCCCCCCTCCCCTTGTTCCCCACTCCCAAACACACCTTCCTCCCAACCGCCATTGCTGATTCATCCTTCATCCCTTTCCCCTCCCATTTCCAGGAGGTGCTGGGGTGGCTACACGCGCTGAGAGCGGAGCTCAGGGAGAGGCCCAGCAAGGAGCACCTGGGGGAGCACGTGAGGGGGGGACTGGCAGCGGGAAGGGTGGTGCCAGGGTATGGACATGCGGTGTTGCACCCAGTCTCCCACCCCCACTGCACCATTGCTGATGTGCCTTCCTGTTACTCCCCTGCCCTCCCCTCCCCTCCCCTTCCCCAGGAGGTGCTGGGGTGGCTGCACTCGCTGAGGGCGGAATTGGGGGAGCGACCAAACAAGGAGCACCTGGGGGAGCACGTGAGGCGGGGGCTGGCAGCGGGAAGGGTGGTGCCGGGGTATGGGCATGCTGTGCTGCGCGTGACTGACCCGCGCTACTCGTGCCAACGAGAGTTCGCACGGCAGCACATGCCGCACGACCCCATGGTGCAGCTGGTAAGTGCTGGGTTTACTCTGTTGACTCGGTTGAGTGCTGCTAGTGCCCATTGTGCTGACTTCGTTGACTGCAATAACTGGGTTGTGTTTTGAGTCGACTCAAAACACACTTGAGTGCTGCTAGTGCCCATTGTGCTGACTTGGTTGACTGCATTGACTGCGTTGACTGCAATAACTGGGTTGGTCGTGCGGCTCACCTTCTCCCTGCCACCTCATTGACTGTGTGGATAGCATTGACTGTGTGGATAGCGTTGACTGTGTGGATAGCGTTGACTGTGTGGATAGCGTTGACTGTGTGGATAGCGTTGACTGTGCCGCTCATCTCCTCCGGTTGCTCCCCTCCCATATGGTGTTGACTGTTTTGACTGCGTTGACTGCATTGACTGCGTTGACTGCAGGTATCAGACCTGTATGAGGTGGTGCCGCCCATTCTGAAGGAGACTGGCAAGGTGAGGGGGGTAGGGGCGGGGGGGGAGCGGGAGCTGGGGAAGTGAGGGGAGAGAGGCAAAATGAGTCAGGAGAGGGGTAAGGTGAGGGGGAGAGAGTGCATGTGTGTGCACGTGTGCATGAGTGTGCGCATGCATCCGTCCTCATACCTCCACCTCCCCCCTTCCCCTTTACCCCTCCACAGGTGCAGAACCCGTGGCCCAACGTGGACGCTCACAGCTGTGCGCGTTATGTGTGCATGTATGTGCGTGTGTGCCCACCTGCATTCATCCCCCCCCCCCTTCCCCTTTACCCCTCCACAGGTGCAGAACCCGTGGCCCAACGTGGATGCTCACAGCGGCGTGTTGCTGCAGCACCTCGGGTTAACCAATGCCAAGTGAGTGCTGCAGCGTAACAAGAGGGCACGTACCATGCGAGAACATTGTGAGGTTTTGCTGCGCAGGGATGGTAGGGTGGGGCTTGGCACAGGAGGGGCAGGTGGTGTTGGGCTTGGCACAGGAGGGGCAGGTGGTGTTGGGCTTGTGCCAATGGGTTTGCACCGCCTAAGCCTCAGCAACAGCAAGCGAGTGCAACAACAAGGGTGTGCAGGAGCATGAGAGGAGTGCGTGGAACAAGGCTTGTTTCAGGGGGCGCACCCTGCATGTCACATGTCCGTGAGCACATCTTTACTGTGAGTCTCTTGTGCACCTTCCTTCTCCCAACCCCTCAAACCAAACCACCTTCACGAGTTTCTCCCTCTCTCCGCCCAATTCACCCCACCAGCTTCTACACCGTGCTGTTTGGCGTCTCTTGAGCCATGGGCGTCAGCTTGTCTAGATCCCCTCCCCCTTATCCTCAAAACAACCCCTCACCACACCCCCTCTCTTCACCCCCTCCCCCCCTCCCTGGCTCAATTCACCCCACCAGCTTCTACACGGTGTTGTTCGGCGTCTCTCGAGCCATGGGCGTGCTCTCTCAGGTCAGTGCCGTGCCTTACCACATCCCACCGCACTGCCTCGCATCACACCTCACTGTCTCAATTTCACTGCTGCTACGGCGATGCTCATTTGCCTTGAGCTCCACTGCTTGATTCGCAACTCTCTGCCATGCCCCCTGCTGTTCTCTTTCCCCTCTGCCTCGGTGCCACCACGGTCTCGTTCTACAGCACGCTCTGACCTAGCAGCACTTCACCTGCTACTCCCACTCTCAACCACCCCTCCCTTCTCTCTCTTCTCACTCATCTCTCCCCAATCTCCTCCCCCTCTCCTCCCCTCTCTCCTCCCCTCTCTCCCCCCTGATCCTCCCATCAGCTGGTGTGGGACCGGGCCTTGGGATTGCCGTTGGAGCGCCCCAAGAGCATCACCATGGACTGGATTCAGCAACATGCAGCAGACACGGGCTTTAAGGGCGAAGCTCACACGCACACACATGCCGCCAAGACGGCAGCATGAATAATTGCAGCCTGAAGGCCACCAACTCTCTCTTGTATCCTCTTGCCGGGCTTGGGAACCGAACCAACTAAGAAGTTGGTGAAATCCTGCTGCGCTGTTTTTTTCATCCGGTGCACATTCTGTGTGCTGGTCGTTTCTCAGTGCTGCTTTACTGAGCTGTCTGGTTCTCGTTAGTGGCAGGGCACAGCAAGGTTTCAAGAGTCTAGATTGTCCTGCTGCATCTAAAATTATGGTTTATCCATCTTATTTGTGTATAAAAATGTGAAGAGGGCTTTTGCAAATCGTTGGGACCAAGGGTTGAAGTATATAATAAATGGAGCAATGGTAAAACTATTACTAGGAAGCAGTGGCATTTGATTAGCATTCGTTGTGGATTGTTTTTAACACAAAATCGGTGAAAAAAATCAGCTGGCACACCCTCTGTTTATCTAACAGAATGGTTGGGACCTTTAGGAGGAAATACATCCAACAAAATTCAGGTTGCTTATTGTGGGCTAGTCAATATTTGTTATGCTGTTAGCTCGACACTCTATAAGGTACAAAATATGCATGTGACCTAGGTTTGCATGAGCATCTGCAGCAGAGCACTTCACCTGCGGTCACCACGTCACATCCTTTCGATTTCAAGACCAGGGAAGGATGTGACGGCACAGTTCCGGTTGCGTATCTTTTTTGCGGCCATAAAGTGGAGTTGGTGGGAACGGACAAATCTGATCTAAGAATGAGTTGGTGCAGTCAGCAGCACGTGTCGGCTGACTAACCGATCCGTTAATCCTTGGACCTATCCGAGTCCTCGGCTTGGCTGGTTGTTGATCGTACAGCTGTGCATTTAAAGTGCACGTGCTTTTTAAAACGCTGCTGTTTCTGTGGATCACTGAGCTCCTCATGGCTTTACTGTTCAAAGCATAATGGGCCATGTGCGGTGGTATGGGCGAGAGGGATGCAAAAACTTTGGATGCTTGTGGTTGGTTCGACAGTCCAGCGTGGACGTTGTTTGCTTTACCAACCGCGAAATTTAAATTGTCGTATTTGCAAAACCAGCGTTACACGAGCATGCGTTTGCAGTTGTCGAGATTTCGCGGGAGGATGACATGTGTTGACGTGCTGTGTCGACGGCTTGTGGCTATGGTTCGTTACAGGTCGGCGGTAAAAGCTGCAGTGAACCGAGTTGGATGGGAAACACGCGTTTTTTTCCGCCATATTGCTTGTTGCGGAAAAGCATTCCGTCTAAAAGCTTCGAATGACAATGGTGATGTTCAGTACACCCTGAGCCCGTGCAATCCCCAACGCTATACTTACTACCCAATTCCCCGACCGTGCTTAGCAAAGGATCAGTTCCACATCGGGCAGCCAAGGATCACGTCGAGTACAGTGCAGAGTTGTTGGTCCCTTCTTTCAACAAACCTCACTCCCTCAGTACATACAACTCTGTTCATTAGCGTTGGTGTGGATAACGAAACGATGCCTCACCTCAACTGTTCATCCACGCCATGTGGGGGGAGAGGGGGGAGAAGGGAAAACCCACGAGGAAGGGGAGATGTCGAAGCGCGTCTAGCAGCAGCCAAGCGGCGCGATCGAATCACCCACAAACACGGCCCAGAAGTCGCTCCATTTTCCTAGGCATCCAGCAAGGACGGGGTTGCGGTGAAGGGTGAGCCACCAACAAAGAGCGAGTTCCAGCAAGGCAAACCACAAGCAAACACAACCTTCACTTTCAACACCTCAGCTTCCCACTTCCAGTCTAAAGCAAGCTCCGCTCAAGCCAGCTAAACATCTTGAAGCGTCGCTCACACACTAAAACCTTGTGACACTACAGCCTTTCGTTGACAAATCAATCGCCGAAGCAGTTTCTGGTCGACCCATCCCGTAAAACTACTTGCGATCAGCATGGCCACAGCCACAGCCAGTCCATGGGGCGACGAGTCTGCAGCCTCGCACTTCAGCAAGTTCGCTCTGCGCACCGCGAACACCGAGGAGTGGTGCAAGCAGCCGCCCGCGCTTGTAAATGCCGCCGATCCGCGCTTCCCCGATAGCGCTGTTGATCTCTCCGACATCTGCGGCGACTCCGACTCCAACAGCGTCGCGAACCTTTCCGACATCTGCGGCTTTAACGACCTCAACTCGCCGCGCTCCGCCGTCTCTTCCCCCAGAAGCGGCCTCGGAAGCCCGGCGACCTCCCAGCCCAACTCCGCGAACAACTCGGGGGCGCTCTCGATAATCTCCGATACCCCCTCGAACACGTCGTCGGGTAACAGTCGCCCGTCCACCGGCCGCGTGTCGCTCGCGCAGCAGCTTCTGCAGCAGCAGATGGGCGGCAACTCGCGATTCACGTCGATTAATCCGGGGAGCAAGGGCACCAACGTGGCGTCTCTAGCGGGAATCAGCGACTACGGCAGCTACACCGGATCGCCCGTGACGCCGCTCATGCCGAGCTTCAGCTGCGCGTCGTCTGAGGCGTCGGGCCAATCACCGGCGAATCGCGCGTGGCGACAATCGAGCGACCCTCGCGCGGTGTCGCAGCAGACGGCGACGATGAGGGAATCGTCGCTTCGCGAGAAACTCCTGCGAGCGAGCAGCGCGGCAGCCTCCGAAAGTGAGTATCTTTGAAACGTCTTCGCGTTCTACTATTTCCTCTTCGTTTCAATCGCACGTGCCGTGTCTGCACAACCTGACACTCAAAGTACGAAGTCACTGACCTGTGGCCTCTCGTCTCTCCCCGTTTTCTTCTCTCCAGCCTCATCGCAAAGCTCCTGGCACGAGCAACAATCTCAAGCCGCGTCCGCCTATTCCGCCCGCGAGTCCGCTTCGGCGGGCGACGACTATTATTGCGAGCCGGAGGAGAACGAGCAGGGCGAGCTCGACTTCTCGGACATTAAATCCGTCTGCCTTAACTTCGACGAGGCACAGCAGCAATCCGAGGAAATGGAGTTTCAACGCGCGCGCCTCGAGACCGTCGACATCGTTCCCCTCGCGTCCGGACCGCGGAATAGATTTATGTCGGCGGCAGCTCTCAGCATGCCCGAACACGTTCTCTTCGCGCTCACATTCTCCAATTCCCCCGCGCTTCGCCTGCCCGGAGACGATTCTATTCAGAAGTTATTCCCGCTTAACATGCAGCAGCGCGCGGCGCAGGACAAACCGCAGGGCCCCGCGCACACACACGGCTCCGCTTTCGGCGGGAACGGAGGCGCGAAGCGGAATGAAATTTTCCCCAGCTACTTGAGAAGCGGCGCAGGTGCCGCCGCGGCATGGGGCATTCCGAGCTACGGCAGCTACGCTTGATCCAGATCGACCTTGGGACGAACGGTCTCAAAGTCGCATCAGCCCCGCGGGGACGGTGATCGTGCGGGGAAAGGACGCTCGAGATGCTATGAGCGGCGCGAGGCTCGCTGGGCAGGGCTGATTGCCCTTTCGGCGGGACTCGCTACGTCAAAGACGGATCGGCTCAGACTGTGGGCCTTTCTCAACCACCTCACCTGAACGGTTGGATCTCCCGTCGCGTGGAGACGTTTTTAGGTGCTCGCAATGGAAGGCAAGCCTGAGGAAAGTGGGGAGGCGCCGCGTGGCTAGTTCAGCTTGCAGCTGATTTGAAATGGAAGAAGAAATGTGCGCAGCGAAGCAGTGGTGAGGGGGAAAGTAGAGCGAGAAATTCGAGCATGTTGCGACCCTGATCGCGTGCATTCGCGCATCACGCCCTCTAGTGGGTTGTGGTGTAGATGCAGAGCAGACCTGCACTGGGTTCTCGCTTGAGCGTTTTCGCTGTACATTATTTGTAGGTCAAATAAATGTTGTAAGTGTAGCATATATATTCTACCGATAGTGAATCAATAACCAAACATTAACATGTTTTGCACGTAGTGCTTTCCAGCGAATTGCACTTCTGTTCGAGCGAGTTCAATGTTGCATTCGTGCTTCTCAACCTTGCTTGCGCTCCCACGAGCAGCTTGCTTCAAGCACTTCTATGTATTAGCAGCAACATTGTACACCTGAGTCTAGTCCTACCCAGGTATCCTCCTCGCGTCGCCATGATAGCCTCGTGTAGCGCCACGACCTGTCCACGAACACATTCCGTCGTTTTCTGCGTGCCTCCGTCCATCAGAAATCGCCGATCTTCTCAATGTTTCTCCACCACCCTGCGGCCTAGATTTGTCGACAGCACTCCCCTGCGCGCCGAGCATGTAGAATCTGTCGCGAGCGCGCAGTCAGCGCTCGGCGGTCGGTTTCCGTGCGCTGCCCTGCGCGTGCGGCGCTCGTCCGCGATAAGCGGCGGACGAAGCGCCGCGCCTGCCGCGTCTCGCGAGTTCCGCAGACGAGCGAGTCTAGCTCCCCGCGCGGTTCCCCCTGAGCGCGCCAGCCCGTCAGATTCCGCCGCTTTAGGGGAATCTCGAGGACCAGCGGAAGATCTGGGAGGAGTGACGTCAGTAGCACGCGGAGCGGAAAGCGGGAGAGGGGGGGGTAGTGCGGAGGACGACGGGGGAGGCGGGTGGTTTGAATGGGGGGTGGCGGAAGGGCAAGGGGAAGCACAGGCAGGGGGAGAGGCGGAGGGGGAAGGATGGGATGCTACGTTTGCCACGTGGCAGTCAGAGGAGGGGGAGGGCGGGAAGGATCTGACAGGCGGGTGGTCGTCAGATGAAGAGATGACTAAACGGTTCAGATTGCGGAACGGGCGCGAGGTGAGAGGAGGGGGAGATGAGAGGTTAGACGAGGGCGCGAGGTGAGAGGAGGGGGAGATGAGAGGTTAGACGAGGGCGCGAGGTGAGAGGAGGGGGAGATGAGAGGTTAGACGAGGGCGCGAGGTGAGAGGAGGGGGAGATGAGAGGTTAGACGAGGGCGCGAGGTGAGAGGAGGGGGAGATGAGAGGTTAGACGAGGGCGCGAGGTGAGAGGAGGGGGAGATGAGAGGTTAGACGAGGGCGCGAGGTGAGAGGAGGGGGAGATGAGAGGTTAGACGAGGACGGGAGGTGAGGAGAGGGGGAGATGAGAGGTTAGACGAGGACGGGAGGTGAGGAGAGGGGGAGATGAGAGGTTAGACGAGGACGGGAGGTGAGGAGAGGGGGAGAGGGGAGGGGAGGCAGGGAAGTGAGTGGTTATGCAGATGCCAGGGCATTTCGGGTGTGGGGAAGTGAGTGGTTATGCAGATGCCAGGGCATTTCGGGTGTGGGGAAGTGCGCGGTGGGTGAGGAAGGGCAGATGACGAGGCAGGCTCTGATCCCCGCCTAATAATGCCCATCCCTGTTTCCTGTACACCTCTCACTTGCATTCCCCCCCCAGCTATCCCAGCCTCCCCTCCTCCCCTCCCCTCCTCCCCTCCCTTCCTCCCCCCCTTCCCTTCTTCCCCCTCCGCCCATCAGATTCTCGAGGAGCGAGCCTTCCTGGTGGGTGTGGAGGTCAGGCCCTCTGCAACCCACTTCCCCCTCCGCCTCCCCCTCCCCCTCCGCCCCCACTCTCCGCTCACCGCTCCCCCTTCCCCCCTCTCCTTTCCCCCTGTCAGATTCTCGAGGAGAGAGCTTTCCTGGTGGGCGTGGAGGTCAGGCCCTCTGCATCCGCTCCCCCCTCCGCCTCCCCCTCTGCCTCAGCGCCCTCGCTGTTCCCCATAGAGGAGTCATTGGCGGAGCTGTCGCAGCTGGTGGAGACGGCCGGTCTCAGGGTTGTTGGCTCCACGCACCAGAGGTGAGTCTTGAGGTGCTGTTTCCTTGCTTCCTCCTCCTCTCCTCCCCCTGTTGTGGCCTACCCTCCCCTCCCCTGGCGGAGCTGTCACAGCTGGTGGAGACGGCCGGGCTCAGGGTCATTGGCTCCACGCACCAGAGGTGAGATGAGCAGATTAAAGGGGTGAACGGGAGGCAGTGAGAGGAAGGGGGAACAAGAGAGAAGCTGTTCCCCATAGAGGAGTCGCTCGCTCTACACACCCTACCCCTACCCCATTCCCCCTTTCCCAGGGTAGCGTCCCCCAACCCGCGCACGTACATCGGAGCGGGCAAGGTGGAGGAGGTGCATGCAGCGGTGGCGGGCATGGGCCTAAGGCATCGCCTCTCTCCCCTCCCGCCTCCTTCCCTCTCTCCTCTCTCCCCTCCCTGGCCTTTACCAGGGTAGTGTCCCCCAACCCACGAACGTACATTGGAGCAGGGAAGGTGGAGGAGGTGCGAGCAGCGCCACTGCCGTGATACCAAGCCCACCCTGCGCCCTTCCCCAACTCCTCTCATCCCTGCCTTTACCAGAGTACCGTCCCCCAACGCACGAACGTACATCGGGGCGGGCAAGGTGGAGGAGGTGCGAGCAGCGGTGGCGGGCATGGTTTCAAGACACCGCCCCCACTCCTCCTGCCTGCCTCTTCCCCTTCTCCTTTTCACGTATCCCAGGGTAGCAAGCCCCAACCCACGAACGTACATAGGAGCCGGCAAGGTGGAGGAGGTGCGAGCAGCGGTGGCGGGCATGGTTTCAAGACACCGCCCCCACTCCTCCTGCCTGCCTCTTCCCCTTCTCCTTTTCACGTCTCCCAGGGTAGCAAGCCCCAACCCACGAACGTACATAGGAGCCGGCAAGGTGGAGGAGGTGCGAGCAGCGGTGGCGGGCATGGGCGTGGAGACGGTGGTGTTTGACGATGAGCTCAGCGCGGGGTGAGTGAGAGTGTATGGCATGTGGTAGCGTGGGCGTGCATGGGCATGGGCATGGAGACAGTGGTGTTTGACGATTAGCTCAGCGCGGGGTGAGAGTGTACACGTGTTGGATGCATGTGTCCTGGCTGTGTGGGGCGGGCATGGGCGTGGAGACGGTGGTGTTTGATAATGAGCTCAGCGCGGGGTGAGTGAGCGGGGGGTTGAGGGGAAATGGTCAAAGATAGAGCGTCCACTCACAAACAAAGAGCGTCGACTCACAGAGGTAGAGGTGACTTTTGAGTCGACTCAAAACTCACAGATATAATATCGACCTACAGAGGTAGAGCGTCCACTCACAGATATAGCGTCAACCCGCAGAGATGGAGCGTCCACTCACAGATAGAGCGTCGACTCACAAAGAAAGAGCATCGACTCGCAGAGATAGAGCGTCCACTCACAAACAAAGAGCGTCGACTCGCATAAATAGAGCGTCGACTCACAAAGAAAGAGCATCGACTCGCAGAGATAGATAGAGCGTCGACTCACAAAGAAAGAGCATCGACTCGCAGAGATAGAGCGTCCACTCACAAACAAAGAGCGCCGACTCGCATAAATAGAGCGTCGACTCACAAAGAAAGAGCATCGACTCGCAGAGATAGAGCGTGCACTCACATTGATAGAGCGTGCACTCACATTGATAGAGCGTGCACTCACATTGATAGAGCGTGCACTCACATTGAATCACAGAACTGTAGCATAAAATCACAGAGATAAGCTGTTGAATGCACGTGTTCCCAACCCAATGTGGGGGCGATGTGAGGGTGTGCGATCGCACGGCGCTCATTGCCTCTCGCCCACGTGATCTCTCCCCTGCTAGTTCCCGCCTGCTCCCCTTCCTGTCTGACACAGTCAGCTGCAATGTGGAGAAAGAGTTTGGCGGCGATGTGAGGGTGTGTGATCGTACTACTTGTCTCTCTTTCCCGCTTGACTTCCACTCTTTCCCGCTTGACCTGCCCTCTTTCCCGCTTGACCTGCCCTCTTTCCCGCTTGACTTGCCCTCTTTCCCAACCAACTCCCCACTCTCCCAGTCAGTTGCGCAATCTGGAGAAAGAGTTTGGCGGCGATGTGAGGGTGTGTGATCGCACGGCACTCATCATTGACATTTTCAGTCAACGCGCCAACACCAAGGAGGCAACTCTGCAGGTGCGCTGTCTGCATTGCACGTGCGGGAGCACAGGTCAGTCGACGAACGGCATGCATTCACACACTCGCGGCTCATCATTGAGTGCACGTGAGCAGGGACCAACGCCCAAGCCCAACGCCCAAGACCAACGCCCAAGCCCAACGCCCAAGACCAACGCCCAAGACCAACGCCCAAGACCAACGCCCAAGACCAACGCCCAAGACCAACGCCCAAGACCAACGCCCAAGACCAACGCCCAAGAGCAACGCCCAAGACCAACGCCCAAGACCAACGCCCAAGACCAACGCCCAAGACCAACGCCCAAGACCAACGCCCAAGACCAACGCCCAAGACCAACGCCCAAGACCAACGCCCAAGACCAACGCCCAAGACCAACGCCCAAGACCAACGCCCAAGACCAACGCCCAAGACCAACGCCCAAGACCAACGCCCAAGACCAACGCCCAAGACCAACGCCCAAGACCAACGCCCAAGACCAACGCCCAAGACCAACGCCCAACACCAACGCCCAAGACCAACGCCCAAGACCAACGCCCAACACCAACGCCCAACGCCCAACATGTCCTCCCCCCATTTCAACCTTTTCCTCAACTCATCCCCACCAGGTGCAACTAGCCCAACTAGAGTACCAGCTGCCACGCCTGACGCGCATGTGGACGCATCTGGAGAGGTGGTGGGGCTGACACGTGCGTGCATGCAACTTGATATCACCCCCTGTTTGCCCTTCCCCTTCTCGACCCCCCACCAGGTGCAACTAGCCCAGCTAGAGTACCAGCTGCCGCGCCTCACGCGCATGTGGACGCATCTGGAGCGGCAGGCAGGCGGCATGGTGAAGGGCATGGGGGAGAAGCAGATTGAAGTGGATAAACGAATCATCAGAGAACGGGTGAGTCAAAGAAAGTAGGGGGAAAGGGTGGGAAAGGGGTTGCCTGCGAGCTGTTCAGAAGGCAGGCGGCATGGTGAAGGGCATGGGGGAGAAGCAGATTGAGGTTGACAAGCAGATAATTCGAGAGCGGGTGAGACACATGATAGGTGGGAAAGGGTTGCTGTTGCAGTTACCTGTGAGCCTGTTCAGAAGGCAGGCAGGCATGGTGAAGGGCATGGGGGAGAACCATATCGAGGTGGAAAACGAATCCTCAGAGAGCGGGTGAGACACATGATAGGTGGGAAAGGGTTGCTGTTGCCATTACCTGTGAGGCTGTTCACAAGGCAGGCAGGCTGACGCCATGGTGATGGCATGGGGGAGAAGCAGATTGAAGTGGACAAGCGAATCCTCAGAGAGCGGGTGAGACAATGAACTGGGGGGAAAAGGGTTGCCTGTATGCCTATTCACAAGGCTGGCAGCGTGGTGAAGGGCATGGGGGAGACGTAGGAGTAGATTGAAGCGCATAAGCGAGTCATCATTATCTCATCTCTTGTCCCCCTCCCCCCCCCCCTCAGATGGCAGCGTTGAGACGCAGCCTCACATCAGTGAGGGAGCACCGGCAGCAGCACAGGGACCGGCGAGCAGGCCTGCCCATCCCGGTGCTGTCACTGGTGGGATACACCAATGCAGGCAAGAGCACGCTGCTCAACAGGCTTACAGGGGCCGGCGTGTTGGCAGAAGACAAGCTGTTTGCCACGCTCGACCCCACCACTCGCCGCACGCAGGTGGGTGCCTCTGCTCCGCTGCTTGTTGCTTCCTTGCTGGCCTTGGTTGATGGGTTCAACCGTCACTGGTGGGATACACCAACGCGGGCAAGAGAACTTTGCTCAACCGGCTTACAGGCGCGGGCATGTTGGCAGAAGACAGGTTGTTTGCTACTCTCGACCCCACCACTCGCCGCACACAGGTGGGTTGGGTGCTGCACACTCCCCCACACACTCGCACACACAGGCCTGCCCATCCAGGTGCTGTCACTGGTGGGAACCACACACTGCACCGAGCGCTCATACGCTGCACCGCCCGCTCACACGCTGCAAGGCACGCTCATACGCTGCACCGCCCGCTCATACGCTGCACCGCCCGCTCATACGCTGCACCGCCCTCTCATACGCTGCACCGCCCGCTCACACGCTGCACCGCCCGCTCATTCCCTGCACCGCCCACTCATACGCTGCACCGCCCGCTCATACGCTGCACCGCCAGCTCACACGCTGCACCGCCCGCTCATACGCTGCACCGCCCGCTCATACGCTGCACCGCCCGCTCATTCCCTGCACCGCCCACTCATACGCTGCACCGCCCGCTCATACACTGCACCGCCCGCTCATACGCTGCACCGCCAGCTCACACACTGCACCGCCCGCTCATACGCTGCACCGCACGCTCATACGTTGCACCGCGCGCTCATACGCTCATAAACTGATGGGATGAAACTGATGGGATGAAACTGATGGGATGAAACTGATGGTATGAAACTGATGGGGTGAATCTGATGGGGTGAATCTGATGGGGTGGAAACTTATGGGGTGAAACTGATGGGGTGAAACTGATCGGATGAAACTGATGGGGTGAAATTGATGGGGTAAAACTGATGGGGTGAAACTGATGGGATGAAACTGATGGGGTAAAACTGATGGGGTGAAACTGATGGGATGAAATTGATGGGGTAAAACTGATGGGGTGAAACTGATGGGATGAAACTGATCAGATGAAACTGATCAGATGAAACTGATGGGGTGAAACTGATGGGATGAAACTGATGGGGTAAAACTGATGGGGTGAAACTGATGGGATGAAACAGATCGGATGAAACTGATGGGGTGAAACTGATGGGATGAAACTGATGGGGTAAAACTGATGGGGTGAAACTGATCGGATGAAACTGATGGGATGAAACTCATGGGATGAAACTGATGGGGTAAAACTGATGGGGTGAAACTGATGGGATGAAACTGATGGGGTCAAACTGATGGGGTGAAACTGATGGGATGAAACTGATCGGATGAAACTGATGGGGTGAAACTGATGGGATGAAACTGATGGGGTAAAACTGATGGGGTGAAACTGATGGGGTGAATCTGATGGGGTGAAACTGATGGGATGAAACTGATGGGGTAAAACTGATGGGGTGAAACTGATGGGGCGAATCTGATGGGGCGAAACTGATGGTGCTGAAACTGATGGGATGAAACTGATGGGGTGAAACTGATGGGATGAAACTGATGGGGTGAAACTGATGGGATGAAACTGATGGGGTGAAACTGATGGGGTGAAACTGATGGGTTGAAACTGATGGGGTGAAACTGATGGGTTGAAACTGATGGGATGAAACTGATGGGGTGAAACTGATGGGGTGAAACTGGTGGGTTGAAACTGATGCGGTGAAATTGATGGGATGAAACTGATGGGATGAAACTGATGGGGTGAAACTGATGGGGTGAAACTGATCGGATGAAACTGATGGGATGCAACTGATGGGATGAAACTGATGGGGTGAAACTGATGGGGTGAAACTGATGGGATGAAACTGATGGGATGAAACTGATGGGGTGGAAACTGATGGGATGAAACTGATGGGGTGAAACTGATGGGATGAAATGAAACTGATGGGATGAAACTGATGGGGTGAAACTGATGGGGTGAAATTGATGGGGTGAAACTGATGGGGTGAAACTGATGGGATGAAACTGATGGAATGAAACTGATGGGGTGAAACTGATGGGGTGAAATTGATGGGGTGAAACTGATAGGATGAAACTGATGGGGTGAAACTGATGGGGTGAAACTGATGGGATGAAACTGATGGGGTTAAACTGATGGGGTGAAACTGATCGGATGAAACTGATGGGGTGAAACTGATGGGATGAAAGTGATGGGGCAAAACTGATGGGGTGAAACTGATGGGATGAAACTGATGGGATGAAACTGATGGGGTGAAACTGATGGGGTGAAACTGCTGCACCGCCCGCTCATACGCTGCACCGCCCGCTCTTACGCTGCACCGCCCGCTCATACGCTGCACTGCCCGCTCATATGTTGCACCGCCCGCTCATACGCGACTGCACCGCACGCTCATTCCCTGCACCGCCCACTCATACGCTGCACCGCACGCTCATACGCTGCACCGCCCGCTCATATGCTGCACCGCCCGCTCATACGCTGCACCGCCCGCTCATACGCTGCACCGCCCGCTCATACGCGACTGCACCGCTCGCTCATTCCCTGCACCGCCCACTCATACGCTGCACCGCACGCTCATACGCTGCACCGCCCGCTCATATGCTGCACCGCCTGCTCATACGCTGCACCGCCCGCTCATATGTTGCACCGCCCGCTCATACGCGACTGCACCGCACGCTCATTCCCTGCACCGCCCACTCATACGCTGCACCGCCCACTCATACGCTGCACCGCACGCTCATACGCTGCACCGCCCATTCATACGCTGCACCGCCCACTCATACGCTGCACCGCCCACTCATACGCTGCACCGCCCACTCATACGCTGCACCGCCCACTCATACGCTGCACCGCCCACTCATACGCTGCACCGCCCACTCATACGCTGCACCGCCCACTCATACGCTGCACCGCCCACTCATACGCTGCACCGCCCACTCATACGCTGCACCGCCCGCTCATACGCTGCACCTCCCACTCATACGCTGCACCGCCCACTCATATGCTGCACCGCCCACTCATACGCTGCACCGCCCACTCATACGCTGCACCGCCCACTCATACGCTGCACCGCCCACTCATACGCTGCACTGCCGACTCATTTGCTGCACCGCCCGCTCATACGCTGCACCTCCCACTCATACGCTGCACCGCCCACTCATACGCTGCACCGCCCACTCATACGCTGCACCGCCCACTCATACGCTGCACCGCCCACTCGTACACTGCACCGCCCACTCATACGCTGCACCGCACGCTCATACGCTGCACCGCCCACTCATACGCTGCACCGCACGCTCATACGCTGCACCGCCCACTCATACACTGCACCAACGAGGGCTAGAACACCCTGCTGAACTGGCTTACAGGGGCGGGCATGCGGACACCTTGGGGCTAAATCAGAAGCTGCCCTTTCCCCTCCTCGTTTCCCTCTCCCCTCTCGCTTCTCCTCTCTCCCTCCCCTTCTCTACCTTCACCCCCCTCCAGCTTACCAATGACAAGCTTCCCACCCAGCTCCCTTTCCCCTCATAATAGCCTGTTTCCTCAATCCCTCCCTCCTTCCACCCTCCCCACTCAGCTACTCAACGGCAAGGAGTGCGTGTTGACGGACACAGTGGGGTTAATTCATCCCCCCCCTCAGCTCCCTCTCTCCTCATTTCAGCTCATATTCCCTCTTCACTTCGCACCCCTTCATTCGTCCCCACTCAGCTACCCAACGGCAAGGAGTGCCTGTTGACGGACACGGTGGGGTTCATTCAGAAGCTGCCCACCCAGCTGGTGAGCTGCCCACCCAGCTGGTGAGCTGCCCACCCAGCTGGTGAGCGTCGATTGTTCCTTCAACAAATGAACGAGTCAGTATAAGCATTAAGTCGTCCCCACCTGCCTCTTATTCTTCACCACGTTCACCGCCCTTCACCCCTCTCCACCGTTTTGTACCCTCTTCAACACTCCTAAACGCGTCCGTTTGCAATGCCATGCTTCCTTGCCTGTGCCGGAACCAACCAACCAATGGGGTTGCGCCAGGTGGCAGCGTTCAGAGCCACGTTGGAGGAGATCACCGAGGCGTCGGTGCTGCTGCATGTGGTGGACGTCAGGTGAGCTGTCAGGTGAGCCGTCAGGTGACCTGTCAGGTGAGTTGTCAGGTGAGCTGTCAGGTGACCTGTCAGGTGAGCTGTCAGGTGGGCTGTCAGGTGGGCTGTCAGGTGAGCTGTCAGGTGATCTGTCAGGTGAGCTGTCAGGTGAGCTGTCAGGTGGGCTGTCAGGTGAGCTGTCAGGTGAGCTGTCAGGTGGGCTGTCAGGTGATCTGTCAGGTGATCTATCAGGTGAGCTGTCAGGTGAGCTGTCAGGTGAGCTGTCAGGTGAACTACACATTTTTTTTTCTTCCTACATTCTTCTTCGCCCATCCCGTCATACTCACTCTAAACCTTTCCCTCTCTCTGCCCTTCACCTCTTCTGCCCCCCTCTCCCCCTCATTGAGCAGCCATCCAATGGCGGCGCAACAGGTGGCGGCGGTGCTGCAAGTGCTGGCAGAGCTGGAAGTCTCCCACATCCCCATGCTCACCGTGCTCAATAAGGTCTGCCTCTTTATATTCCATAAGGCCTGCCTCTTTATATTCCATAAGGCCGCCTCTTTCAGTCCATAAGGCCTGCCTCGTTGACTCAATAAGGTCTCCCACATCCCTATGCTCACCGTGCTCAATAAGGTCTGCCTCCTTGTACTCAATATGGTATGCCTCGCTGCAGAGTATGGACTCTGCTGAATATAACTGAAAGCCCTTTTCCCCCTTTTTCCCTCTAAAAAAAAAGCTACACTGTACTAAGTGTACGCAGTAACATCTGCGCACCAAAACAACTTCAAAACCCGGTTATCACCTGAGCTGCACACATCCACTCCACAGCATCGCACCGGCAGTCCCTTATCTCTCCCTTGCTTCCCACTGCCATCCCCAGGTAGACCAAGTGTCCCCTGGTTTTCTGCAGCAGCAGCAGCGCCAGCTGGAGACCATTTTGGACCAGAACTCGGGCGGCAGAGAGAGCAGTGCGGGCGGCAGAGAGAGCACCGCGGGTGGCAGAGAGAGCAGCGCGGGCGGCAGAGAGAGCAGTGTGGGCGGCAGAGACGGTGGTGGGAGAGAGGATTGGCGGCACAGGATGGTGGCGGTGTCGGCTGTGACTGGCGAGGGCATGGATCGGCTGTTTGAGGAGCTGGAAAAGATGGTCAACGTGAGTCAATGCTGGTCAACGTGAGTCAATGCTTGTCAACTGAGTCAATCCCAGGGGTCAATGCTGGTAGCGCTGGTAATCTTTTTTTGTATTTGTTAGCACATCAATACCACTCATGGATACATGCGAATGCCCCGGATCCCATGTCCCGCTCCCAGGGCCTGCTGGTGAGCATCGAAGCTATCATCCCGTACCAGGCAGGAGGGGCATCTGAGAGTCGACTCAAACGACATGCGTGCATGCCCTCCTGTGAATGCCCCTCTGCTCCCATGTGTGTGTGCGCTGCTCACAGGGCTTGCTGGTGTGCATAGAAGCCATCATCCCATACCACGAGGGGCATCTGCTGGGTTGACTCAACAATATGCCTGCATAGTATCCCATGTGTGCGCCTGTGAATGCCCCCCTGAATGCATGTGCGCCTGTGAATGCCCCCCTGAATGCATGTGCGCCTGTGAATGCCCCCCTGAATGCATGTGCGCCTGTGAATGCCCCCCTGAATGCATGTGCGCCTGTGAATGCCCCCCTGAATGCATGTGCGCCTGTGAATGCCCCCCTGAATGCATGTGCGCCTGTGAATGCCCCCCTGAATGCATGTGCGCCTGTGAATGCCCCCCTGAATGCATGTGCGCCTGTGAATGCCCCCCTGAATGCATGTGCGCCTGTGAATGCCCCCCTGAATGCATGTGCGCCTGTGAATGCCCCCCTGAATGCATGTGCGTCTGTGAATGCCCCCCTGAATGCATGTGCGCCTGTGAATGCCCCCCTGAATGCATGTGCGCCTGTGAACCTATGTGTCGCTTGCAGGGCCTGCTGGTGAGCATAGAAGCCATCATTCCGTACCAGGAGGGGCATCTGCTGGGGCTCGTGTACCAGCTGGGCGCTGTTGATAGAGAGGTGAGAGGAGCGGTTGAGAGTGGTTGAAAGGAGTGAGGGGCATCTGCTGGGGCTCGTGTACCAGCTGGGCGCTGTTGATAGAGAGGTGAGAGGAGCGGTTGAGAGTGGTTGAAAGGAGTGAGGGGCATCTGCTGGGGCTCGTGTACCAGCTGGGTGCGTGGATAGGGAGGTGAGGGGAGGTGCGGGGAGGTATGGGGAAGTTGGGATACTGAAAGGAGCGAGTGGAGAGACCAGGAGGGGCATCTGCTGGGGCTCGTGTACCAGCTGGGCGCTGTTGATAGAGAGGTGAGAGGAGCGGTTGAGAGTGGTTGAAGGGAGTGAGGGGCATCTGCTGGGGCTCGTGTACCAGCTGGGTGCGTGGATAGGGAGGTGAGGGGAGGTGCGGGGAGGTATGGGGAAGTTGGGATACTGAAAGGAGCGAGTGGAGAGACCAGGAGGGGCATCTGCTGGGGCTCGTGTACCAGCTGGGCGCTGTTGATAGAGAGGTGAGAGGAGCGGTTGAGAGTGGTTGAAAGGAGTGAGGGGCATCTGCTGGGGCTCGTGTACCAGCTGGGCGCTGTTGATAGAGAGGTGAGAGGAGCGGTTGAGAGTGGTTGAAAGGAGTGAGGGCCATCTGCTGGGGCTCGTGTACCAGCTGGGTGCGTGGATAGGGAGGTGAGGGGAGGTGCGGGGAGGTATGGGGAAGTTGGGATACTGAAAGGAGCGAGTGGAGAGACCAGGAGGGGCATCTGCTGGGGCTCGTGTACCAGCTGGGCGCTGTTGATAGAGAGGTGAGAGTGGTGAGGACAACTTGGGGTGGTGGACAGAGAGGGGTGGGGGAGATGGGAGCTGTTGCAAGATGGCAAGGGAAGAGAGCCGGAGGGCCACACAGGAGCACCTCCTCACTGCCCGTTGCTGGCAGAGCAGCAATGCGCTCTCCCTTTTTCATCTCCTCTTCTGCCTCTCCATCTGGTGCTGAAGGCACCTTGTTGATGGCGATTGTTCCTCTACGGGTGGCTCAGCTGTTGCTGTTCTGCCTCTTCATCTCTCCCCTCCCCTTTCCCCACTCTTTTCTCCTCCCTTTCCCGTCCTTCGCCCACCCAGGAACATCTTGGCACGTTGCTGTCAGCACATGTGCTGCTGCGGGTGGCACAACTGTTGCTGCTGCTGCTGCCATACCACCCTCAACCTCTTCCCCCACCCCCACCCATTCCTCCCATCCTTGTTCTCCCCTCGTACTCTCACACAGGAGCATCTACCCGAAGGCACGTTGCTGTCAGCGCATGTGCCGCTGCGGGTGGCGCAGCTGCTGCTGCCGTACCGCTGGACTGCAGAAAAGTTCAGAACAAGGGATGCCCCTGTGGCATGAAAGGTTGATCATCAATTTGTTCTTTTAGGGGCCCCAGGAATAAACGTGTTACTTTCGGCACATGTTCTCCTTTGGGCGGCTCAGATGCTGCTGCCGTACCACTGGACTGCCGAGGAATTCAAAACCATGGAAGCCCCTGCAGCTTGAAATGTTGAATACTGCTTGCTCACGTGGAACTACACTACACCCATTGTACAGACGAGTGTAATTGCGAAATCACTGTATACAGTAACCTATGGGAAGCAAGTACACCATATGTGACACCATTGCTGATGCATTTACCAGCTGTGAATCTTGACCACACACTCGGGCTGCACGCGCATATTGAGTTGACTCAAAGCAAGTATCATATGCTACACCATTGCTGATGTGTTTGCTGTGAATCTTGACAATCTCCTCTCCACACACTTGGGCTGCGCGCGCAGGCCCTCATGCTCCAGCGGGTGGTGCTGGTGGGAGGCAGGGGAGAGGAGGGGAGATAGTCAATCAGTCTCTTGAATCGGGCTGCCTGGAAGCGCGCATTAGAGGTGCTGGAGGTATGCAGAACACGACAAGGTTCAAGTGGTGGTACAGGAGCAAACAACAAGGGCAGAGAGAAGAAAAGGGCAGCTGCAGGGTGAAGACGAGGAAAGGAGCAAGGATAAAGCTGCAGAGGATGGCAGAAGTGATTATTCTGGGGTTGGGAGTGGGCGTTGGGGATGCATGAGCAGAATATAGGTGCTGACATGGGATGTAAGGAAATACAATAAGTGCATTGAAACAACAGGTGCCAGGTGCAACGACAGCACCTGGCGCCTTGTCTTGGCGTCAGGTGATTCCAACAGAGAGACGGCGGCAGTAATGCCGCCCGCATCTGCGACGGCTGTAGCATGTAGCAGCGAGTGGCGTGCCGCATCACTCAGCACTGAGAGGAGAGGGCTCTCCGCGCCACAGCCTGCTCCTACCATGTCTCACCACTCCGCGCCTCAGCCTCAGCCTCTCAGCCTCGTGCTGCCATGAAACACGGGGAGATGAGAGTCACGGGAACGTGTGATGTACGGCCAAGGTAGTCGAGAAGATGAGAGGTAAAGGGCAAAGGGAGGAACGCAGGACGCAGGCCGTGAGATAGGAGGGGGCAGAACACAGGACGTGAGATAGGAGGGGGCAGAACGCAGGACGCAGGACGTGAGATAGGAGCAAAGGACAGAACGCGGGATGTGTGGAGAGGCAATCAGATAATGAGAAAAGACATGATTGCCGACCACGTGTGCGACACATTCGCCAGGCGACCCATCAACAGCGTCGCAGCGGATCGCACGGACGCCATGCTGTCCTGCGCGAGCGGCAGCTGCAGCGCGCCGAGCGACAGCAGAGCCTCCGGGTTCGGCGGGGGAAGAAACGCCGGCGAAACGCGTTCTGTTTCAATTCAACTAAAGTACTGGGTTCGCGGGGTTCGCGGGAGCATGCTCCCGTATCGGCGAGCTGGCGAATCGCAAAAAAGAAGTCGAAATGCGCCACGAATTCGAAGATCGACGCTTCGAGACTGAGAGAAGCTGAGACTAGACTGCGAGAGGGACTGAGACTCAGGAGCACCTGAGACGAGACCGCGAGTTCACCGAGTTTCATGACGAGCTGCGCGCGCGTCGCGGTACGCTTCCATTACCGCCACCGCGGCTGACGCGAGGTTTGGAGTTATGACTCACTACGAAAAAGCGTAACTCTTATGTCCTAGCCATATCTTTCACCTAATATGTTTCACTACAGAACTCTGTCCAAGGTACGAAAGTTGCTAACAGTACAGGTGATTGAAAGTACAAAGAGTATTTCATTATATAGAGAGTTACAAGTCAGAACCAAGAGTTCCTAAGCTATCTAAGCTGCCTTAGCCAAGTCTAAACAGCTCTACTTGAGCCTTCACAGCAGCGCCTCGACTCCAAAGCAGCTTGCCCGTCTAACTTCATGTCTTGGTATCTTCGTATCTTCTTGTCTTGTTGACCCCTCAGCTTGGAAGTCTTCTTTGCCTCCAGAGCAGCTTGAAAGTCTTCTTGACCCCTCTTGGCCGTCAGAGGCAAATGCCCCTGACGTTACACCCACGCACCACGATGAGGTGAGGGTCATTCGCGTGGGGTCTGTTTGGGGGGGGGGGGGGGGGGGTGGAAGGGGGGGAAGGGAGGGAAGTGCTTGGGAGCGGGGGGACGGTTAAAATTAGTGACGGGCAGATGAAAATAAACACATCGAAATTGACGATAGGTCCCCCGTTGTCAGAAATGTTGTCAGAATGACGGCCCAGCCGTCAAGAGGACGGCCAGTCGTCAAGAGGCATACCTGAACACACCTGAACCCATACCATCGCCCATGTGTAAGTGTGCCTAAATCGAGCCTAGGCTAACGCCACCTGAACCCATACCATCGCCCATGTGTTAGTGTGCCTAAATCGAGCCTAGGCTAACGCGCTCCTAATCGTCCTGTACCCAGTAGCACCCTCTTACAAGCCTGGCGTTTGCGCTGGTTGCTCGCGCTTGCGCTGGTTGCTCGCGCTTGCGCTGGTTGCTCCCGCTCCCGCCAAATCTGCTCTGCAGGAAAGGGCGGGACGGGAGGGGAAGTCAAACTCCCCCAAGCTCGCGCCTTGCTCCTCGCTCTGACTCCTCGCCCCAGCCAGCTCCTCGATCCGCGCTCCACGTTTGTGAAGCCCCCCTCGGGACTTCTGCACCACAGACGACTAAAAAAAGGGAATTAGATATTTTGAAAACGAAACGGCAGAGAGCAGCGCAAAATGCGACAGCGAAAAGGCGACGAGCAGAAAGGCGACGAGCAGAAAGGCGACGAGCGGAAATTTGACGACAGAGCAACACAGCAGAGAGAAGCGCCGCCATGCACCGTGCGCCGCGATGAGGTGCTCTGATGCCCCGCGTGCTCCGATGCCCCACCGCGCGCGCGTAAGACGTCCTCGAAGAAGCGTCGCCACGCGGCCCGCGAGCTCCCATCCCCGCTTCGCCTGCGCTAAAGAAGAACGCACACAAAAAGAAGTTAGTTTCATAATCGAATAATAAACGTAACGAAATCCGACGGCACTTACCATGCAAGGGAGACCACCTCCCCGCGTTACCTCCCTTGCTTGGCGCTGGCTCCCGCGTTTGCTACCGCTCCCGTTGCTCCTGCGCTGAAGAAAGCACACAACGAAAGAAGTAATAAGAATCGGGAAAAGATAAAGAAAAGAACTGGAACTGAAACTCACCAAGAATGAGAAGTCCTCGTACTAGCTTGACCTCCCGTCGCCGCCAGCGCCGTTGATCCCCGCATCGCCTGCGCTAAAGAAGAACGCACACAAAAATAAGTTAGTTTCATAATCAAAGAATTAACTTGACGAAATCCGACGGCACTTACCAGGCAAGGGAGACCACCTCCCGCGTTACCTCCTTTGCTCGGCGCTGTCCCCGCGAGCTCCCCCTCCCGGTACCGCCGCTCCTGCACTAAGACGAAGCACACGAAAAGAAGTTAGAATCTGGAAGAAAACGAAAGCAGAAAACCGGAAGTGATACTTACCACGTTGACGTTGCCGCCAAGCGCAGAGAGAAGCACCGTGTGTCCCGCCGCAAGACACGCCTCTCGCCCGCGAGACACGTCGTGCGACCGCGACCGAAGAAGCGTCGCCGTGACTCGCGCCACGCGTCCCCACGCATCGCCATCCGTCCTCGCCACGCGTACGCTGGCTGACGGTCAGATTCTGCAAGTCGTTGAGAAGGAGAAGGAGAACGAATCAGAACGAGATCGTCGAGAAGGAAAAGGAGAATTTGCTGAAATCAGAACGAACAGAATAAAAAGAATCCGCTGAAAAGAATCAGAACACGTTACCTCAGCTTGGGCGAAGAGAGCCGCGCGACGGACGAAGTGACACCAGCCGTCGGTAGAGGCCTCGTCGCTGACGGTAGAGGCCTCGTCGCTGACGGTAGAGGCCTCGTCGCTGACGGTAGAGGCCTCGTCGCTGACGGTAGAGGCCTTGTCGCTGACGGTAGAGGCATCGGCGCTGACGGTAGATGCCTCGTCGCTGAGTCCCGCCCAAAGGACTGTCGCCACGAGGCATTCCTCTCCATTCGTCGCCGTCGCCATACGTCGCCGTGTGTCGTGCGCGTCAGGTTCTGCAGGAAAGCAAGGCGACGCGTTAGAATGAGGGCGAAAAAAAATAAATCTGAAGCTGCCATGACGTGTTGAAAACGGATCGCTAAACTGCACATTACCTCAGCTTAGAGCGAGGCCGTCACCGTCCCCTCGCGACGTGAGACAGGAGAGTCTTTGTCGCCGTCCGTATGTGCGTTCACGCGACCAAGGCGGTCGCCATCTTCAGTCGCCAAGACGGTCGCCAAGACGGTCGCCAGGATGGTCGCCAAGATGGTCGCCAAGATGGTCGCCAAGACTGTCGCCGGGATCTGCAGGTTCATGGCAGCACGTTAGTACTTCGCTCACGGGTAGACTTATAAAGAGAGGCGGCACAACGGGTGGACTTCACTCACCCCAACTTGAAGCAGAGTTTGCGAACGCATCTCGGCGCATCGTGGCAAGGTCGAGGTCGCATCGTGGCGAGGTCGCAGCTCCCGCGATTGACGCATCTCTTGTGGTCCTCCGCAATTGAGCGTCGCATGGGCCGTTCTTCGCGTGGGCCGTTCTTGGTCTGCAGGGAAAAGGAAAATGGTGACTTAGAAATCACCGAATCAAGGAAACTGAATTTCGTCAGCTGAGAAGACGAAGGAAAGCTAGAGCTACTATTCACTTACCCCAACCCGAGAGGCTTCGCGACTCGTATCCGGGCCTGAGTGACGGTGATCAGCCGTCACTCGCATTCATCACTTGGGCTTGAGTGCGTCCACTCGTCAGCCTTCTCGTTGGAAGATATCGCCGGTCCGGAGCTCGAGGCATCCCGCGTTTGAAGCGCCTTCCCGACTTGAAGCAAAGGTCGCCACGAGGTCTGCGGGAAGAAAGCAACAGGTTAGTACAATGCTAAAAGGCTTAAGAACTTAACTGTCCAA